TAGTTTTATTTGGAAAATGGAAGCTTTTTACTTATTGTCACATAAACTATGCCATCAACAGAGAAGAACCAAAAATTTAGCTGCTGCATTGTAAAAAAAATTACTCAATTTCACTCAATTTTATTCAATAATGTATCAATTTCTGTCTACACTATTGCAACAGAAGTGAGTGCATTCTACTCAAATCCGAGTTTCTGCTATCTAGTGAGTGATTTCTGATTCTATTATGAGTATGTAAAACTAGTTAAGAGTTGACTTTTTCTCTAAATTTAACTGTTATTGTAATTTTTTACTTACTCGTGGTTTATATTCTCTTTAAGTTTTAGTTTAAATATAATTGTATTAAAGTTATAAACTACTAAGTTGTCACAGTGGTTTCTATGCAGATCTCTTTTAGAGACAATATTTTAGGTATCGATTAAAATAATTGGTTAACTGATCGGACGAATAGTCTACCATACGCCATTATTCCATGGCTAGAAATTGGCCTCAATGATTTGGGATCGAGGGGGATTATCCCCCTTTATCCTGCCTCATCTCGTGTAGACCTGAACAGCCTTCGTCGTCTACCCCGACCGCAAATGCGACCGGTGTAGGCGCTTTGTGGGACCTCCTTTTGTCCTGGCTGGGCCCCGCCGGCTAGGACCCTTTATTCTGGCGCTCCTCTTGCTTCGCCGGCTCGTCTGTGTAAACCCCGGGGGTGGTGTCATGTTTATGGTTGGGTAGGGTGGTGCGGCTATGCAGCCTGGGATGCGCTTTACTAAGGTGGTCCTTAGGCTAGCGTAAGGAGGGTATGGGGGGTGTGTATGTGTGTGTGTGTGTGTCGTTGTCTTCGTTTCTTGATCCTGGCGGTCTCTGAAATGTCTGCCATAATCTATATTGTACGTTACAGGTACGTGAGTAAGTAAAGGTAACAATCTAACTATCCAGCACTAACACCAAGAGATGACCTAATAGGGACGAAGGGAACAGACAACCCACGACAACTCTATAATGAGGACATTTACTTCGATTTAGCTAAAAGTGCCAAAGTATGAGTTTATCTGCTGAATTTATTTAACGGGTATCTATATTTGAGTGAAAGTACTCAGTTTTATTCAAATATTATAACAAATTATCAAAATTATTATTTATCTTAAATTATTCATATTCCAAAGATACTTTACTCTTAAAAGGTTTAGCTACAGCCATAGGCTGATTTATTATTATAAGGTAGGTAAGTATTTTACATAAGATAGAGGCACTAAGTTATCCTTAAAGGTGGCGTTTCGCAACATCCTTCTCTATCTGAATCGATATCCGTCAAATAGGTCAATAAACATCGCGTATTTCAGGAAACAGAGACGGCAACATCGATAGATAAGCGCAACGGCCGTAAGACATCTCATTACAGCCAACCGCACATCCTGTGAACACACAAAAATAATATAGGATGTAACCGAAATAAATCTAGTGAGCGCGGTAAATGCATAAAACTAGATGGAGGGAAGAGAAGCAACATAAGAACGTGTTATTAATAACCCAGGAAAGGCCGCGTAGTTCCAAATACGGCACTATCTCGGATTACAGCAGGTCCATTTTCAGAATATACCTAAGTTAGAGGAAGGGGGCGTCTCGACGCCAGAAATAGCCCGCGGACGCCTTGTACGGCAAAGGCGCCTTACGCATTCTAACTGTGCAAATCTTTTTGAACATAGTTTTTACAGAATGATATGAATAAGTTTGCGCTGTTGGAGCTCTTCGGCCGGTTCATGAATGAAGACCGCGATGGACACCCTATTAAGTAATTGTGCCAATTCGTAATCACGTTAAGACTAATTAGTAATTCGCGTCGACTGTGATATCATATAAACTATGTGTGTTTGTTGTTGTTTCATTGAGTTAAATATTTTACTTTCGTGAGTTGCGTAATTTTTCGAAGTGTTGATAATGTTAGAAAATGTGATCACAAGTAAGTTGATATGTGTTCAGAGTACAGCGTGATGGATATTTTGTTAATATGGGGTCACTGACGTGGTACACGTGGTTTGTAACACTCTCCATAGCGTGTGAAATACCATAAAAATAAATTTGATGCTGACAATAAATAATTTCAACAAGAAAATTTGCACCGATTGATTTTGCCGGTACCCTAATTTGAGCAACTAATAAAGCTTCTTTTTGAAATTAGATAACTACGTAGGTATAAATAACATTGACAAATAGTAATGATAAAAATAAAACGAAATTTTTAGATGTTCCTGGCAGATGTATTGTGGAATAACTTGATTATTTTTGCATATTTCACGTATATCAAGACTTTAAGTAGGTATTAAAAAACAAGTTTTATACTTTACTGAATATTAGAACTCGCATAAATAGAACATTTCATTAACATTTGAAACAAAATCAGTCCTTATAGGCATTACAAATTGTATATGCAAATATTTTGTTGATATTAATTTATAGTTTATAATGTACAATCATGAACGAACAGTTACTTTAATTAATCCTTTAAAATAAACCTGTCTGTTTTTAACATATCAGGAGAGAAACTGTACATTTTTTAATAATAAATTCAATTTTATAATGATATTAAAAAATTGAATAATTTTTACAATTAAATAGGTTGTGATTTTCAAAATTATAAACCTTGCATGAAAAGAATCAGTCAAAGGTTATTTTTACGTAAAATTCTTGCCTGATAAAAAATCGTTTATGGAAAAAAGAGAGCCAAATAAAAAATAAAATATAAGCATCCCCAACTGAATTAATTAACATTAAGATGTATTAATTTTCGAAAAGAAAATTATCTTAAAGTGAAATAATGTAGTACAAATTTTATAGTTTTTAATTTTTATTTACCTGTTTCGTTCAGTGAAAGATTTTTAGTTAGGAAAAAACAATATCGTAAAAATAATTACTTAGAATTACTTCTTAAAATACACTAATACAAAAAAAATAATGCTATTAAGGAAAGTCCATTTCCTTTTTGTATTCTCCTTTATAAAGATGTTTAGGTTTTATTACATATTAGACGCTATTTAAATAAATTATTTTCAAATTGAATGATGTACAGGGTGATTCACTATATTTTGACCCCCCCTTTAAATTTTTTGTTTTAAGAGATAAAAAAATGTGAAATACAAAAGTTGCACGATTTTTTATAAAGTTTTCGTAAATGATAGTAGAAAAACAAATGAAGTCCTTGTTGAGCATAGATAGCTATATAGGGTTTGTTGGGTCCACATCTAATAATAAGCGAGATAATATTAAAAAACGAAAAGAAGGTTTTTCAGTACAAAAATAATCTTGTAAGAGTGTGGAGAATAATTTACTCTATTTTAAATATAATACAAACTGTCAAACAATAATAATGTTGTCATAACATTACCTGTCACTATCACGGCCTACCATATAACATTGTCCATGAGTAAATAGGCCTCTCACGGCCTAATTAGCGAGATTTAGTTAAAATACTTATACGCATTTTGAATTATATCAATGTCCGATATGTCAAAATATATTACGACTAAATCTAAATCCTTACGTAATTGGAAAAAAGGTCTAACAATTACAAGATATCTTATTTTCTTAATAAAAAACCATATTTTCGTTTTTTAATATTATCTCGCCTATTGTTAGAGATGGACCCAACAAACCAAATATGACTATGCTCGACAGGGAACGTTCTATCCAAATATGGAAAACTTCATAAAAAGCATGGAACTTTTGTATTTCACATTTTTTTATAACTCTTAAATCAAAAAACTTAATCGGGGGCAAAATATAATGAATCACCCTGTACAATTGTACATATGTGTATCTATTTCTAATGAATTCTTTAAAGCGTAAGTTCAATGTATCAACGAATCTATCAATGCATTTAATTATCGAAACTACATCTTCATAATATTACCCTGTTTTTTTAATATGAAACAACCACAAAAATATATTTAAAAAATTATACACTAGTTAAAACAGATAATGTTTCAAATGCATCACAAAACCCTATTTATAAACTATGTTTGGACATTTTTGTTTTTCAATCTCTTTCACAACATGAACACAACGTACCTTATTAGCAATGATTATTTTAGGATGCAAATATTTGATATTTGAAACGTTTTATTTACAGCCTAAACATCTTAATCAATGTATCTTTTGGAAGGATAATCATGCTATGTTCAAGAAGTCAATACTATAAACCTGGAGTTATTTCTTATAAAAGGGCCAGCTTTAGAAGAATTTATAAATGCATCATTCCATAATCAAATAATTGATAGACGCCACAGTTTATCAGCAAAAAAATAATATATTTGCAATTTTATATAAAAAATTATGCAGATAAAGTAACGATATATTACAAATTATGATTCTAGCATAAACAATTTTATGTCAACGTATTTTACATATAAACAAACTATTAACGTAAACAAAATATTGTTTATTTTTTACTTATTGACATGCGGCCCCATTCCTTATGCCAATAAATTCATAAACAATTAAAATTGACATGTCAAAAGCATACCTATGTTAGTTTTTGAATGTCTTAATTAAGCCGATCATACATCTGAAGAACGATTTTAGTCTTTCGCCTTATTAGTAGCTTTACTTACGACAACAATGAACGTTTCCAGAGAACATTTCTATGAAGTGCTTTCTTTAGTTACAGATGGGATGATAAGAAATTGCAGAATTAACAAGTAGTACTACTAAAAGAGCACTAATTACTATTTATATGTATTTTTTTAATTTATCGGCAACCTATAGAGCCTATTTGCACCCTTTTGCTGCAAATAGATTAATCTTACACCCGCCAGAAGAAATCTCCTACATCCGACAAAAAATTTTCAGCAACTGATTGTTCGTGATATGCAAGACTGGCTTTAGATTATTACACATAATCTACTTAACATATAAGAATATTAAATCCTGCTACAAGCTATATTAATATGTTTTACTAATAGGTCTTTTTTTATCTTGTAGGCCTTATTTTATAGCAGTAATTTTTGTTGCAGCAAAGTCAACAATGCAAGCAGACGATTTAGAAGAAGCTCTGGGTAAAGAAACTGTTGCGTTTTCATCTAGCGATATGACTTTCAATGAAAAGGACGTCAGCTCTCCCGAAATGAAAGAGGAACCAGCGGTAGATGATGCAAAGTATGTATGAATATAATATAAGTTTCATAACAGAAGATGTATCGTGTACTTATGGGCATAGATGAATTTTTATCAGAATGATTTTGATGACACTATCAACAAATACGATAATATACGATTATATGAGTTTTCAGTATATCGTGTTCAATATATCGCAGTTTATTTATTTATTTTTAAATTTTATTTCTATAGGTAAGGTGATGTCTTTGGAAATTGTTAATAGCACACCTTTCTTAAATTATATTTTAGAAAAATATGGTTGTACTCTTTGTAATGTGGTTCAAGGGCTGAAGTTATTTTCATAAATATATTATGCTGAATGCCCAGAAATAAATTCCATACATTTTTCATGAAATATTTTTCTGTAGACCTTCAAAAATACGTTCTCAATCGTCGCAAAAACTAGGTAAATAACATTTTCATAGAAACAGGAGCTGGTAATTTCTAAAATTAAATTAGGTATACCGCTTAGTCATCATCTATAGCAATTATATGAAACTGAAAAAAAGTTAAAACAGAGTTTGAATAGTATCAAAACTAGTAAGAGTGTCCAGATCTGAATCTGAGGTACTTAACCTGATACTGAATTTATATTAAAAAAATTATAAATAGTGAATATTCTTTAAATAAATCTGTTTATCAACAAAACCAAAACTTTTTTGGCACTAACACTCTATCCGGACAAACATCTAAACATAATATTTTCGACACCGACGTGAGAAATTTGAACTTTTTCCAAATATTCATTCAAATAGGGGTATAATGAACAACATGATGAGATAAATATTTGCAGTGACAGATTTATCTTTCACCTGCATCTGTTTCGAAGGTCGGTAAAGATTGTTAGTGAAATAAATAGTCGAATCTCAATATTTAATTAATTTAATACTATTATTATTTAATAACACATAAATAATGCCTCATCATTGCCATTAACGCTGAAATGGCATATATGCATATTATGTACGGACATGCCAATGGTAATGGTCTTAAAGCTCGTCGTCTACATGTTGAGGCTTATGTTAATCGTTCACTTCCTTCTTGCGGAAGTTGTCATTTTGACTTTTTGTATATGGGTTTTCAAAAAGCGTGCTCTCAATTCAATTTACAATCCGGTTTTTTAATATTTAACAGCATATATGAAAGAATTGTTATTGCCACTTGTACAATATGAAGTAGAACTTCGATTAGGATAAATTAGAGAACAAAAACTTTACACAGAAGTTATTTTAAGTTAAACATAAACTCGCGATAGATGGGGGCAGAACAATGTGTCACCTCGTACCATATTGCGAAATTATGAGTAACATCATTGCCTCACAAACTGAAATAGTCCTTTATTTTTTCTAAATCTCTTATCTTCTGCCTTATTCTATTATTCCTTTCATTTTATTTCTTATATTATTTTACTTGTGTATCTAAATTTGACACACAATGCATATTCTTACATTTCTCTTTTTACAGTTTTGAAAACACGACCAAATTTGAAGGCATTAATCTGGAAGATGACATCGAGAAGGTTGAAGTGACCAGTCACGAGTCTTCTGAAGAAAACGAAGACGAATGCATCATTTCAGATACACCAAAATCCGAAATTAATCAACCTGTCTTCAGCGGCATTCCGACTCAAAGCACAAGCGAATCTATAAAGAGTTGGCTGCAAAGAATAACAGACATGCAAAATGAAATCCAAAAGAAGTGTACCACTTCCAGTGGAAATTTAAATCATATACAGTCAGTAAGTGCATGTACTCGTAAGAGATTTGTATGAGTAACTAAACTGGACTTGTTTTATGAATTATACAAGCATTGTTTTTTTAGATCGCTAATAACTCCATGGCAACCACCGTAGTCAACAGTTCTTCAGTTAATAGCAGCAGAGTTGTTAAATACCAAGACTTACCTTACATGGGAGAAATGACTTTAGACAATTCAAAACCCAGGAGAGGAAGGAAGCCCAAGAAGGCTGATATTTGCCACCTGATTTATAAAAATTACGGGACGATATTCCCTGGAACTCCAAATCCCGGTAGTTACTTAGAAAAAGACAATGGCATTTTGAAGAAGTCCGTCGTTTTAGAAACGAAGGAGGACAGTATCAATAGAAGTGATGTTCAAAATAGGATAATTTCTAGTTTACTTGAAAAAAGACTGACTCAGGAATATAAAAGGACGAAGGAAAGCAGTACTACTGTTACAACTACCGGAGCGCAGTCCAAGGTTAGTACTACATCTTTTAAATACCATTTTCAATATCGAAATTAGATAAAAATTTCATCCTTTCTTTGTGATATATTTTTTAAATACATTTTAGGTGGCCGATGACCAAAACGAACCTCTCAACCTATGTATACGGGACCTCAACCACTTAAAAATTCGTCTTCTAAAGAAGACCGACAACACCTACACCTCCGAAATCAAATCAGAGCCGCAGTCTGACGACGACGTGGAGTTCGTTCACGAAACGCCCAGCCCATCCGTCAGCGCAAAAAATGAATCCAGATTCCTCTCCGTGACCCCTGATAGTCTATCGACCCCTAGTCCGGATCCCCTTAAAACACCCGACGGGGCAACTGCTCCGGGTGGTTACGTCTATTGGCCGAACGCAGGAGTCTTCATTCACCCCGTAGCCTTGCAGCAGCAGTTGCTGATGTACCAAAGAATGGCCAATAACAATAGTTACATCCTGCCGTCTAATCACAGTCCGAAACCTCCCCCTGAAGCGAGTCCAGGGGGCAAAGGTGATAGCAGCGCAGCGGAGTTCAGGAAACTAGTACCAAAATTGATCAAACCCAAAAATATTAGCAATAGAGGTAAGTTTGATTTTTTTATGTCACGGAGTCATTCTATGGGGCCTTTCAGACCTTTGAGGTTATTTTCTTCATTTTTGCCACATTAGAAGTTTGTTAATATGTGTCCTTGCATAATCCTTAAGAAGAAATTTTAATAAGCTTGTTAAATAGTTCGATTTAATTGATTTTTTTTTCACCATCTTGTGTAGGTGAAATTTTCTGTAGCGAAATAATTGCAATGACATTTATTTCTTATCTACCTTATTTAATGTACCAATATTGCAAGTAATTATTTTTTAGAATTCGTGTTTAAAGAAAAAAAAATTCAACAGTTACTTTTTGGTTAATATTTTTTTAATTCTATTACAGAAGGTTTTGGAAGGAAGAACAATGTTTCTATTGTTATAGATCAAAATAAATATGCAACGCAAATAAAAAAATAGTATCTAGGTCGGAAATGCATAATCAATATATTTGATTATTGATTGTGACAGTTTCTGTTTAATTATATGAAGTGTGGGCCAATTTTTTTGTGTCTATACATATTTATAACTGGCTGTGAGTAAATTTCAACACATGATTAATTAATGTAAATATCAATAAACAATTTTTTTCATATAAAATGTATTAATTAAGCACAATTATAACATGTCGACAAAATAACATGTGTATAATTTTGTTTTCATAAATGTTATAAAAAATATAAAAGAACTACATTGAGAGTTACAAAATATTTGAAGTTATTTATATTTTTTATACATTTGTTTATTAGTATGAGTCAATTTATTAAATCAACAATTCCAATTTTGCTATAAAATCATTTTATTTCAGAAAGCACCGAAGAGACTGATTTGCAACAATTGCCAGCTCTAGAACTGAAAAAAAGAAATGCTCCCGCTTCTTCTGAAAAGACACCTACTAAAAGGAAGCGATCAGCAATATTCATACCCCCGATACCAGCTGAAAACACTGCCAATCCCGCTACCGAGGTTAGCATCTGTAAATTCAAATTTACCGGAGGAGCCAAACCCAGCCTACAGGAAAAAAAGATGCTGTCTGTGGATTCTGGAGGAAATTTCAGGTATATACTTAAATAATTCACATGCTATTGTACTTTTTCTCAGAGAAAACACCATCTTTTGGTCTACAGGTGAACCCTTCTTTGTCAAAAGAATTTTGAAAAAGTATTGCTTTAGCAAAATGTTTCCTACCAAACATTTGCCAAAAGTTCAAGAGAGACAAATGTCTTGATTGGAAATCATACATTTTTAAATAGAAATGTTATTTTTTTGCAAATTTATTTGCAAGGAAATCTTCCTCATATCAGGCAGGTTGTTCAAACAATTAGTCTTTTAAACACCTCCAAATTGAAACCACCAGGTAGAATTTGCTTACACGTGATTCACTAATACTACTGAACTACAACAAAAGCTCTGGTCTATCCCATTTGTATTAGTCTCTCGTAGAGGCCCTTTAGAATCTTTACAGGAGAACATGTCGCTTATTATGACAAAAGGAGTCGTATCTTAAAATATGTCACACATCACTCTACTTTCTTTCTAGTAAGTAATTCTATTTTTCTTGCTTTAGGTACTACAGTGGAACGGGAGACAAATCAATGCGTGGTTACGAATTCTTCCCAAGGGAAACCCTCCAACAGCAAGTCAACAACACCCAGGGTTCTTCCACGGGGGCGTTTCTCCAAGCTAGCGGCGAAAAAATTTACCCACTACCTCCAGTGGACTTCCCCGGGGGAAAATCCTCTTCGGAATTCCTTCTGAGTCCCGAAATTCAAGTCCCCACTTTCGGAGCGGCCCAGAACACCACTCAGGACTTGAATTCGCAACGTATGAAGAAGAGGAAGTCGAGGAAAAGCCTGCAGAGGGAGAAATTGGAGCAGACCTTCAAGGAGAAGGGGTTCTTGATTCAGACGCAGCAGACGGAAAGCGCAGAGGGAGCCACTTACTGCAAGTTCAGGCAGCTGCGGAAGTTTACTCGGTATTTGTTCAGGTCGTGGAAGGATTACCTGCCTGGAAATTTGGCGGAGGGCGAACAGCCTCGAGGGGGGACTAGCGACAGTGCCGAACTTAACATAAATGACTTGTCTCATGATAATACTGATAACTTATCAGTGCATTCGAATGAGTTATCTGCCAATAACGTGCATTAGTTGACTTGATATTTTCGACACTTATCAATTCGGTTATTTTTAGAACTTTACTAGACAGCAGAAGATTTAATAAGTTGATTTCTTGGATGATTGGTGAAGTTCATAAAGTAATTGATTTTATTCTAAAAAGACATTATGATGATATTCCAAAATAAAAGAAAGTTTAAAAATATTTGTCGAATGACAACAAACCTTTTATATAACACAATTTTTTCGTTTTTAACCAAAGATATAAGTGAAGAAACGTTTTATAACAGGGTGCAATAATTTTTAAGACTCTGAAGTGGTGCTAATATTGTGGTTAAGATTTTGACATTATTTTTATTATATAAAAATAAACATAATCTAGTCTTTATGATATTATCCTTAGTACTGTGTACTCTAAAAATAATTTGTTGTTAATTTACTTATTAATAAAAATATTTTTGATTAATCCTCTTTTTTTACTTTATTACTTACCATAATAGAACTAATAGAACGTTAAGTTTAAAACAAACATTTTTAGAAAATTTCATTTACTAAATTCACTAGCATTTACTTAATAATTTTACAAATTTAACTGTACGGATGAGTCAGATTTTGCTTTAGTTTCCCAGTTAAGAGTTAGTTTCCACATGTCAAATAAAATAGATAATGCAAAATATAAAATGCTTTATTAGAAAAGTATCTTCTTTTATAGTGCATTAAAAAAATTTAGAATGTAAATGTCAATTTATTTTAGTAATACATTATAGTATTTAGTACCAAGTAACTGATTAATTCGAACAACAATGTAAATCATTGATATAACTTAGGAAAAGAACTGGGTCAAGAACTGATCCTTGTGGTACTTTTGCATTGACTCACTCTGCAGATATTATTCTTGTGTTTTTTGAAATGCTGTCTTTTCTGGGCAAATGATATTGAAATGTAAGAGAACAAAATAAACAACCTCGTGGACATTCTTTATTATACAATTAATTAATCACCATAAGCTTATACATGCCTACATTTTTTAAATATTGCACCAAGGAAAGTCTAAATCACTATAATGTACGACAATAAATAGCTGTAATATTAATTGATACGGTTAATGTTTACTTTCAGTGTAAACATCCACCTATTTGATAAAAGTTAAAATCACGAACTTTGTGAGCATAATAACTAGAAATTATTTACAGTCTATCCAACAACTTAATATAAATACATCTTTGTGGAAATGAGAACAAGGTGCTATCACAATAAATCAATCACTATAGTTCCTTGACAACGCTAAGAATCTATCTTTTACAAATGGACATCATTGTTATTTGGTGCTTTGAGAAACGATTTGCAGTTCTGTGCCGTTCTTATAATTATTTATGATATGTGTCCAGTTTTAAAATAATTTGTTTCCTCTATTGGATGAAATAAATAAATTCTGAATAGTTTGTGCAACAGTGGAAGACTAAGGTTTATTTGATTTTGATCTTATAAGATATTTTAAGAATTTTCAGTAGTTATTTCCGCCACAGGTATGTCAAGTGAAACTCTTTTCTTATTTAATAATTTACAGGAGAAAAAGTTACGTGGACGAATTGCATCGAATATTTTTTTCTACTACGGGAATATATTATAAATTATATACAAGCTATTCTACGCATAAGTATTTAATTTTACGCACTTGAGTGTAAAATGAAACAATACGCACTAAAAAAGGTAACAATTGATTACTTTTTTCATCAATGGTATTTCAAGAAATTTTAAATTTTATTTAAAGTTACAGTGGACAATATCTCGAATAGTAAAAGAGATATGTAAAAACAGTATTTTACTTATACTGAAAACAATTTCTACGCAAATTTTTAGAAATAAAAATATTTTAAAGATTATATTTTAACCAATTTTGTCAATAAAAATGACTTTTTTACTTAACGCGAAAATGAAAAAGTTTTCCCTCATTTCAAATTCATTCGTGGACACACTATAAGCACTACACAACATTTTTGCTAAACTTAAATATCTCTTTTGATTTTAGAGATATCGTTTTATTTATTGCCCTCAATATTTAACAATAACTTATAAGCAGCTTTAACTTTTTTGAATCAGCAACTACAAAGCCATTTTTATACTAATAAATATCCCATTTACATAAAATAAAGGTACGCTGTTAAAAACATTATAAATTCTTAGAGTTGTCAGTCCTTAATACAATAATATAAAGATAAGCTAGTCTATAATGTTACAAAGTTTAAAAATGGAATATTTAGGATTACATCTAAAAGTAGGCATCTACGGTAGGTATATGGGCATAGCAGCTTACGTTTCCTTAAAATCTAATATGGTTAAAAAAAATCATACAAAATGAGATCGAAAAGAGTATTACGAATACAAAAAATTAACAAATAACCTGAATAGAAGCGTAATATTCATGGTGTTGTGTGTATATCTTTATGAGGACAAAGACTGGTTCAGTTTTATTTGTTAACTTTTTTTACAAAACTAATTTTCATATTTACAGTATACCAATCAAACAAGATCGCACATTAAGGTAAAAGGCAAAGAATTACAATCACTCGATTATTTTCCAATTTAACAAATTTAGCTGCAGAAGGTGATCGTGACTATAACGGTAAATTTTCGGCGAAATGTGAATCGAGTACTTTTTAAAAATTATTGCTCTCTTATTAGAATTATTTTCTCTCTATCTAACTGATGTATTGAAGCAAAACGTACCGACTATTTAATCTGGTTCTACAGAGTGGGCATAATGTTTAGGTACGAAGGTATAAAAGTATATCAATTCCACGTCACTTGCACATTTTTTTGGTCAGTTTGGGTATATATAAATATATTTGTTGGGTAATAGGCAAAGTACTTTTGTTACAGATGGGGCAGCAATACCTTTCGAAGATTTTATTTATATACAGGGTGGGCCATTAGTGTGAGAAAGTAAAATAACTCCCTTGTTATTCATAATACAGAAAAAAAGTTTATATAAAAGTTGTACAGAATCAAAATATTTAGAAAATCAAGTTTCTAAAAATGATCGAATTATAAAAAATGCCCTGTATAAAATATTGATATTAGCTAATATAGGAATCTTTGCCTAACATTTGTCTATAACTGTAAAATATTTTTGCTCTAAGTGTTAGTAGTTGAAAGTTAATACAACTTCTTCGAGGTCATGTCTTTTCCAAAATTTGAAGAAGACATAACTTGGCAACCCCGCACTAAAATGTTAAACTGTTTATATTGCCATATATAGAATTTTCTCAGATATCCATATGTTTAAAAATATACAGGGTGTTCCATTTAAAAAATATAATATTTGGCGTGTCCCATTTTTACTCATCGCCCTGTGTATTTCAAATTAATTTTGTCCTTTAGGTTTCTTGATTCTGTACAACTTTTATATAATTGTTTTTTCTGTATTGTGAGTAACAAGGGAGTTATTTTACGCTCTCACACTAATGGCCTGCCCTGTATATATTAACTTTCTCTGCTCCAAAAAGAAGTACAGTTTGTTGAGAAACTCCCGACGTCAAAATAGCATGATTGATCAAATATTGTTTCTTTTCAGTCTGCAGGGTTTTAAGTTAAAAAAATAAATACCTAAACTGTGTTGATTATACATATTTTAAAAATATCAACAAATATGTATGTTTTTATAGTCAGAATGTCAAAAATAGTAATCATTTTCTTCGAATCGATAGAAAGATAGCTACATTTGTTTTGTTATTGATATATACAATGTGTTCTTTTTAATGCTCCCCAGATCAATATCTCGAAAATCGAAGGAGATATCTAGGGCCTGTAAAAAGTTGTGTAGTATAACTTTAAATAGCAATTCTCAAAAATATTATTTTCCCAGATATTTAAATTTAAAAGTTATTATAACTGTTTCAAAATTAATTATTTACTTTAGAAAGTTATTTTACAATATTTATTTATTATTGTATAACATTAATTGCATACCAACAAAATTAAAGATATTTATGTACATAAATATCTTTAATTTTAATTTTAGTTTTTAAAATACAATGTATTTTATTTAACTTAAGATCTCTTTTGGTTTTCAAGATATATACAGAACACTCTGTAGACAGTTTTGACAAAAAATACATTAAATCGGGTTGGGATTTTTCACTTTCACCAACCCTATCTACCATTCGTTGCCAAATAGGAAATGCTAATTTTAGAACTCTTTATTTTGACAGAAGGTGATTTTCAACATTTTCATTATACATTGGAAGGCACGCTATATTAATTTGTATGCAGTTTTTATTTCAGTAGCGTAGAAAGTGTATATTGTAGTCGTTTTAATGACAATATTAGACAATTTTTTAACTTGTTTGCGCCGAAAAAGAGAAAGACGCGGTATCTAACAGTTTTTCTGAAATTTTTCTGAAGTAACTGTCCAAAATTCATTTCTTTTTCCAGAAAGCCCACTCTGCAAATAATTTTTAAAAGCTACATGTCTGACTTCAGGTGAGATCGTTACATTAAGACATTAACTTTAATTTAACATTAGTCCAGATATTCAAATATTGATTAATTCCTTTCTGTTCTAGATTGTTCTGTTTGGTCCTCACTAGTAGATACAATATTTTATATGGGTTTGGAATCGTAATTCGGTTTTAGTACGCGAAGTAAAAAGACGAAATCACAGATTTAGAGGCACTCATCCTAAAATTCAAAAAAGAATTAAATTTTGCAGGCGGCAGATTCTGAAAAGCACAACTACTGCCACTGTCATCGTTAATTTTGAATTTTCGAACCAGAACATCCCAAAAATTCTTGTTTTAGCTGCTGAATTCTGATAAAGTAGGCTTTGAAATTACACTTGTGTGAATTTTTAGGCTTTTAAAAGTATGTTAGGCCTTGATCTAAAGTATGATATTAAAATGTTCTTTTTTATTTAAATATTTTTGCTTTACATTTCGATAGTAAAATTGCTCAAACAGAACCAAACATGAAACTAAAAAGATAAGTAGATTATTAGTTACAAAACAAAAGCGTCTTTTAGGCTAGCATTTGGCTGTCAGAAACTGTTGCCTGCAACACAACAAACGATTTGCGTAAGAATTAGTAAGTTACTACTTTAGAATTATATTTACATACAAACAAATGGAAAGAAATTTGTTATTGGACCCTATATGTTACAAATTGATGATAGTTAGTCCAATATATCTTAACTATAAAATCTAGCAACAGATTAAAAAGTTATCTAAAGATAAGTTATCACTATATGAAAATTTTTCAATTTATAATATTATTTTACAATCTAAATTCGTATTAATACTAAGACATATCCTACAATTAAAAAAAATACAGATTGTCAAATATCTACCTTCTTATTCATAGTGATCATGGAAAGCCATGATATGATATTTAGTTTCAATAGACTATCCATACCAAATGAATTATAGTCTAAAGAATATTCAGGGATTTGTAGTAGTTCAACTATATAGGCACATCTAAAAGTACTGTAGAAATACTAATAATATTATCGCTAACGTTAGGATTATATGTGTGTGCCGAAATTTTTATTCATATATTTAAGAATATGGTTTATCAATATTGACTATGTGTATGATAATTAACAATATTACTCTAGTCTTTTACACAGTAAGCTACATTCATATTTAGATATGAAAGCATGGTTTTGTACAACGTCTGTAGGAACCGTGTCATATTTGGTAAGAATCAGTCTCATCAGTTCATATTTTTAGAACAGGTAGAAAAGTTTTATTGGATATTCAAAATAAATCACAAATTACTACATCTGTATGTCATTAGCTTTAAATTACAGATTCTCAAAGATTTTGTTCGTTAATCCTTCTTCTATTTGATCCTATAATCACATTTGAAGAACATGCAAATACTCCAGCGTAAATGTTTATAAGTATTTTTTCGAAGGAATTTTGAAAAAATTCTACTTATTGCTAAAATGGATAAAATCGAAAATTTTTAAATGGGAATTGATAGTTGAGACTCCAAAGGGTATGCATAAAAATTGGGAGCTCAAAATAATTATTGGTTGTACCGTGATAGAGAATTGAAAAATAAATATAATTCTGTATTTTCTTATTTAACAATTCAATTGTCTGAAATCTACCCGGATTTCGATGAAAAAATTTCTGCAATACTACCATATCATGAAGTACTCAGAACCATACTTTTTATGTGGCTGCTCTAAAATCAATGTCCGAAATAAATTAATGAAAAAACTGTCATCCGATTGAGTGAATTAATGTTAGTATTGGTCAGATTTAAAATAGTTTTGACGTTCTGGTGACTGTTGTTCAAAACCGACAAAGTATTTTTTCGCTTAATGAGTCATTTATAGTTTTATTCTATACACGAGTGTTAACTCTAAGATACATCGATTTTTATTTTAGTATTTGTCACTTGTCTTAGTTGGGTACTGTTACCAATACAAATAAGCAAACTAAAGTGTACAACTAAGTATATCGAATGCAATTGAACTAACATTTTAAACAAATAGATAACCTGTGTCCACATTTTGAAACAAATTTATACCTTTTCCTTAACTATTATACTTCACGACTGAACTAATGATGAATATACTAATATATTTCTTCACGAGAATATTTATTTTCTGAAGCCGAGCTCGTATAAAACAAATCTAATAAAACAAATCCCTTTTATATCGTCATATTTCAGGTTTCAGCTTTGTTTGTCGAATTTCTCGCCAAATATGACACAGAATCAACAAGAGTGTAAAGCCACTCTGGGAAACGCGATAAACGAAATTCAATATTTATCCAGGGAACGTAATATTATTCTAGATATGTTATTTCATTTCAGTTCTTGTAGGTGTTGTTATTGCCCTTATATTTTATTTAATTACAGGTGTATTATTTCGGTAGGTTTAATTAAAAACTTTATTGACTAGAAAAATTATCACAAGAGGAAAAAGTAAGTCGATGAAATGCTCGTCAATGGCGTTTAAGTGTAGACCTTTCTTCTATAACCTTTTTATTATACAAAGCTTTTGATTTTTCTTGGTACTGAAAAAATTTCATGAATTAATCATAATGATTTTCATGGTAATGTCCAGAGACAGAAATATATTTGTTTCTATGAAACCTGTTAATTATTTTTTTTACTTTAATGGTAGTACCAAAATTATCTTTGATCCCAAATAAAATGGAATAGAAGAAAGTTCATACAACTATAATGACATTTTTTTAGGTATTATTTTAAAAGTGCGACATAGGCAAAAGTTATACTTGAAACAATGCAACTAATATCTAATTCATTTTATATTATTGAATAGGCAAAGATATAAATATATAAATCAACTACCAATTACTTCTAAGCTCTGTCAATAGAATTTATCAACTTCAAAATGTGTTTCAATTTACTTGTGTACTATTTTTGATAACTATTATTTTGGAACAATTTCAGAGTTAATATTTTTAATTATATGTTTGTCCTTATATGATACCTATTCTTAATATTCTTTTTATTAGCTTGTTATTGGGTGATGATCTATCCAATAACATATAATGAACTTTTATTAGAGCAAATAAATGTATTAGAACTATTTCACAATGTTATAAAGTATTATGAATTGTACGTTTGTTAAAATACGGATTGTTTACAAAATTATATGGATTTGTTCAAACATTTTCTTCAATTGGTCGAACCGCAATATGTTGCTTTTGTGCTAACACATTCAGAACGTGTAATACAGTCTCTAATTTCTTATCCATTGATCCCAACTGCAAAAAGTAAATTCTAATCAGTAGCAATTCAGAGACTGGAGCGTTCTAAGCAATGAAGTGTGTTAGAAGTTTGACTGCCTTAATTTTAACAGACGATAGAATACATTAAAATAAACAAAAAAAAAAAACCTTCAGCCATTTCCGAGAAAAAAATGATCAAAATTTTGCTTTTTGGTAAGTACCTAAATTATTTTTAATACGTATGACTATTTGGACGACGTGAATCTTTGGGTACTTTAATTACATATTTTTTAAATTCATAATTTGAACAATTTAAGCACAACACTATCTTCGTACTACAAAGCGATACATTTTATTTTTTTATTTAAAAACTAGAAAACAATTGTCTTGAAATTTACAAAATGTTTCACAATAATGTTTACATTTTTGTTATTCCGTAGGACAAGTCTGCCGCGTGTACACGTGGTGTACATCAGCTGTGTAACATTCAGTTAAGCGCTGTTGTCACGTTATGATGAAACTCCCCAATATTAATACTCGCTGTATTTTAAAAACTGTTAATCTTACACAACTTTTTTGTTCATTTATGATTCGGTACTCTATCTCATGCTGAAGTAATGACAGCCTGTATAAGGTAAGCAATGCAAGAAGAAATTAATTTTAAAACAATACGTAATTCTATTTCTATGCATAACACGGTTTTAGAAATTATATTTTTATAAAATTGGTTCGTTTTGACCAGTGATGTAAGAACTATAATTTACTATTCTTCATCCAGATCAAAGGAACAAATTGCGAAACCAATTTATTCTCTATTTAACTTTTATATTAAATAAATACTGTCCTTCAAGTATCTTGCAATTCAGCACATACTATGTTTGATCACGTTCCCTTTCATAATTCAATAGGTTACAATGTTTCATTAGATTGAATATTACAGAACCTAAACGACAGATGTGACAAAGACAGACAACTTTACTAGAGATATTGTATCGGTCACACCAGGTTACATATGACTCTTGATTTAATCGCCAGTTAACGTAACGACCATATCAAATTATCAAACCCGACACCGAAATCAAACGAGTATGTTTCCAATTGTATAATTTTGTATGTAACTAACATTAGATATCTTATTTTTGGTAGTTCATAACGTTAATATCATTTTTCTAGTTATATTATTACACAAGTAATAATGCAGTATCAGGATCTACAAGTAGATATCTATGAGATTAATTACCAGTTCTCATTTCAATAGGATTCAGTTCAGAAATATTTGTCATCAACTTGAAAGGAAAAGAAAAAGAAAATATTATTTGAAAAAGTAGAAAATCAATGAACGTTGGTAGTCATAATATGCAAAACAATGAGACAGTCTTCATGAAACAATTACCTGTTGCTCTACCCTGTATAACCTGGCTCCCACCGTCATAGGTTTAACGTTGCCAACCCTGTCAATTCCAGCGAGGTAGCTTCCTGGTTTACCAAGCGTTTGGTCTAGTCTTCGCTGAAGTTCCTGAAAGGTATGGCAATATAACTATGATTGATATAATCCAGTCAATGTTGAAGAAGGTTTATTCTTGGAATAATTAAATGTATACCCTAGAGAGTTTTTGAGAACCATTAGATTTAAGTAAAGTTTGGAACAGGTACTGTTTTAGTTTATACAAAACTTTTAATGCATCGAAAAAAATAATAATAGTAAGACCAGAATAGAAGAGAAAGTCATTTAATATCTTCTTTTCCTACGTACAATTAAAATTGGGATGATCATAGAGAACACTCTAGCTAGTTCTAATGCATCGATTGTAACTGTACAGAAGATACCGAAGAAAACTGTTTTCAAAATTTAAAGATATTAATTGAACATGTTATTAATTAAAATATGTTCAAAATTAGAGTGAGGATAGAACAGACCGGATGTAATTTGGAATAAAACGGGAAATATCACTTACAGTTGATATAGCGCAGTATTATCTGACCAAAATATAACGAAAAAATACTCGGAAAAGAAAGAAAAATATGAAGAACAGACAATAGAAGCAGAAATAATTTAGCAACAAAAACAAGTGAAATGAACTCTGATGGACTTAGTTTTAGTCCGTCTATATTGAGAAATATCCAGAGAAAACTGTGAAAAACTAATAATACAAATAGTAATAATAGTAACCTACCTTTATTCTCACCATCATGTTAAGATGTCCCTGGCTGTATTGCTCGATGACGTCCCGAACGTCGTACGGCTTTCTGGCCTGCTGGAACTTCCTGCGCGCCACGAAATATTTGATTTTACGGATCGCACGAATGGCGTTCTTGTGCGCTTCAGTTAGTCTGAAATGAAAAGGCTAATCTCAGATGGACAAATCGGATGATAATCGCTTCGGTGAATAAACACGAAAGCGAAAGGTTCTCGTTTGAACTGAATCATCGATAAAATAATTCATCATTAGGGAACATTTCTGTTTTATTCTGGTTGTTCATAACTTCTGTGTGAACTGAGGAGCGTCAATTATTTGCTCTAAAACATATTTTATTGACGGCGTTGATTAAAATCTCTATTAACATTAGCATTCTGCAGTTTACCTTTGATCCATTTTTTTTTGGAACAGTCATAAATTTTGTTATTTAATATTCAGATAAATAGTAATAAGGAATATTGATCCATTTTTTTTTTGGAACAGTCATAAATTTTGTTATTTAATATTCAGATAAATAGTAATAAGGAATATTGATCCATTTTTTTTTTGGAACAGTCATAAATTTTGTTATTTAATATTCAGATAAATAGTAATAAGGAATAAAGTTGGTATGAAAAACCTTTACTACCATATGTGATTTAACTTCGAAGTTGATCTCTGACATTTTGCCATCATTGAAGTACAGTATCTACAATGTTCAGATATACCACGAACATTCTCTCATGTACGTACACGATACTGACTGAGGGAAGTTAATTTGTGGGTGTAATCAGTTGTAGAAGTTGGAAGCTTATGATAAAGTCTGATAATGATAAATATAGCTTGCATGTTCCAGGAATATATCTTGCATATAGTACCTATATATTAATAATTACTGTGGCTGTTCTAACATATTGTTAATTAAAAATGAGGTAGGTATTTTTTTTATTAAAATAACAATTATCGTTTAGTAGTTAAAAATGTACTAAAAAAAGGCGACATAATTAATAGTATCTAAATAAAGTAATTAATGACAACCAAAATTAAAAACAAAATCATGCACAAACCGTTTATTAGTTACCCTTACATGCAATTACAATAACTATTAATCAATAGAGATATTGCGTTATTCTGATTTTTTTCATAAACTTACATGTATGACGACTGTGGTACATACAGGGGCGTAGTTCCAGGTGTGACCGTAGTGACTTTTATTCGTATTTTTTTTCTTTCCGGTTATTTCAAATTTGACTTTCTATTATAACAGAGCTAGTAAGGGCTTTGCAAGAGTGATTTTTTAAATAATATTCGAGGTAGATGATGAAATATTAGACCACGTCAATTATTACTAAAAGTGTCAAAACTTCAAATTATTTTTTAAATACATAATATACAGGGTGTTTCTAAATATCATGTACATAAGGGAGGAGGTAATTTTTTGGCTTATTTCATGACTAAAAATTCATATGAACATAGGTCCGCAAACGCTTCGCTAGCAATCTACGGGGTGTCGAAATTTTAAGATTTTTTTAGTTTTTTCTCTTTTTTATTTTGTGTAATTCGTTAGATGAAATTGAAATTCTTAAAATGGTCCAGTAGGCTCTGGATTTATTTAGAGAATCTCTTGTTTCTATTAATTTTGTCAGTTTATTCGCGAATACCTGTTAAAAGCTGGGATGACCCGATTTTTGTAGCAATGATTTATTACAATACAAAAAATCTAAATAATAACCATAACAAGGAAACTACCTTACAACAATTGTCGAAAGTGACGCCTACGAATATTTAAGAATATTCGTTTATCAGGTGTCATTCTATTGGGATAGTGCTCCATGTCCAGAGGTCTAGCAGAGCTTCTCTTGCATTTCCATTCGCAATGCATAGAATACATGAAATTCATTTCAGCCATTTCAAAATTCGTCAAATTTGGCATTGTTAAGAGATTATAATGAATATTTAAAACAATTTTACACCTTACAGTTTATAACTTAAACTTTTAATTTATAAACATATGTAGACCCAAGTTACGATTTCAAATGCGAGATTATGCAAATAAATCCAGGACCTAGTGGACCATCTTAGGAATTTCAATTTCATTTAATGAATTACACAAAATCGTTTTTTATTTTTTTCTCGATAACAGTCGGAGATACGAAAAAATCATGATACCAAAAAGTTTCTCAACAAAACATAAAATTCAATTTTGATTTTAGAATCTACCAGCGGCGCACCGCACAAAAGTTCAGAGGAAGAAAAGAGGGTATGAATCCCGAAAAAATATCACTCTGTAGAATTTCACAACCATTTGGCCAATAGTGTAAGCCCTATAGCGTAACCTATATTCCAAATTTGAGCTAAATATATCAAAAACTGTAGAAGCTATGGAGAAAAAACTAAAAAATTCTTAAAATTTCAACACCCTGTAAACCGGTAACGAACAGTTTGCGGACCTATGTTCATATGAATTTTTAGTCATGAAATAGGCCAAAGAATTACTCCCTTATGTACATGATATTTAGGAACACCCTGTATATTATCTTTTGTAATTTTACTTTATTTTAAATCTAATTCAGATAAATAACATAATTATCTCAAATCCAATTATAAGTATGCTTGGAATTTAAAACAAACATTACCGTTTCACTTTTAACATCCTGTCTATTGAAAACGAAATGTTTACGAGTTTACACAAGTTTACACAAGTTGTATATAGGAATCGATACATATTTGATATAGCATAATTTGAGTTTAGAATGTCAATAGGTAAATGGGAATATGCTGCTTACATACTATTTCAATTAAGTTTGGTTAAACCAATGACGTTTCTGCAGGTATATTATGAAAGCCTGAATTTCAGTAAATGTGCCAAATGTGCAACACAGCGTAATATGCACCGAACTTACTGTGTAACTCTAGGTAACTCCGCGTCCAAGTCGTCGATGTCGTCGCTGGCTGCTTCCGTCACGGTGCTTGTCTGACTTGTAAATACAGCTCCTCTAGCGCTTTCTCTCTCACCTCGACGTACCCTATTTGGAGTCCCTTAAAATGAAAAACAAAATGAAAGCCACTTTTAGTTCCCCCGGGAATCAAATTTGCTTTAAATCCACAAACCTACAAAAAATCTAGGCTGCGAATTGTACTTGGCCAACCTATAAGGTTAAAATCCTCTGCCGTTCACTTTTTATGTCGACTTATGTTGGTTATATTCACAAATCTAAATCCATTGGGTTTATAAGCTAGGCATTTTAACAATAGGTATAGCTGTACTCAATTCAAAATTCTTAGTTTTTTGTGACAACATAATATTAAGGGACAATACATCAGGTACCAAGAAAACGACGTTAATTATTTGGGAGGTAAATATCAAACGGGATTATTAGGAGTCTAATTGGGACAAGGCAGGTATTCCTTTCATTTATTATAGAATAGACGCCTATCATCCTGCTTGTGTAATGAGTTATAAGGTTGTATTACATAGAGTTTGTGGTGTTTGGTATGATTAGAAGATATGACCTGAAAATAATCCATGTTCAGTTTTTTGTCGTTTAATTTACCCGCGACTCTTGAGGTTTTCAATCGTTACGTTAATTCACGAGAAAGTTCACAATCCCACACTTGCGATTTCCAGTCGCGTGATTACCTCATAGAACGTACAACAACGCTAGTGTGCTAAAAAACGCAAGTGTGTCAAAAACTTTATTTAGTTCTGTATACGCAACTAACCGGCTTTAGGCTCCTCCATATAAAACACGACGTCGGTATCCGAGAGAGTCCTGCTGGCGTTCTGTCCTTGGACGGCAGGAGTGTCAGTCAGCGGAGTGCCGGGGCCAGGTGTGTTCGTTTCCGTCCTATTGCCGGAAGTGTTTACTTCCATGCGGTTGCGGGATTTTCTTCGTTTCAGAACGGACGCTTTCTTGGCCACCTGTAATATAAGGGACTGACCCAACGCATGGATACTTAACACCAATACATCGAACACTGCATCTAAAACTAGCTTAACAAATACTACACATGTATATACATGGGTTAGCGATTTGGTATGTACAGCGATGGTGTATATTTCCTATTTCGAAAGGCCACGATCAAAACAATGTACATTAGGCACCCACACACGGAGATACACCGTTAGCCGACTTACTAAGTGACATATCAGGTCCGCCAGCATTTTGGAATCTACGCATACAATATACAAACTGTTTTTATAGCGATCTAGTTCCTTAACTGACGCGGGCTTTGAATTAGACGTAAAGAAAACAAGAAACTGAAAAATCCTTAATATGAAGTGGTGCATATAAAAAATAATTTGTGGACCACCCACGAGAAGCGCTGAAGATTTTATGCAAACTCGGTACTAGAAATGCCACTCATACGCCACTAAGTACGTGCCAAAATGACAGATAAATCTGCCGCCTAGCAGATCGCTCGAAACTTCACTTCGTCTCTCTTCGTGGGTGTAAGTTGAAAGTGTTTAATAAATTTTTAAGCGACTCCTAAATACGCTTATTCTACCCAACGGCTTTCCCGGTCAACATGAATTTTTAAACAGATTCATTAGAAAACACAAACTTCTTGCTAAGAAAGTATGGAAAAATCTTGAGATCTCATTTACTCTACGATTGAAAATATAAATGTTTTTCCTTTTGATGAAGGTAATCTGTGGTTAAATACCTACATATAAAAATGTCTATGAATAGTTTTAATAAATCAGCCAGTATGTAACAATGCATTAGTCCTGACTTATTTTTGCTACTAGTAAATAATATGATTATTTATAATTTAATTGATGTATTTATTATTAATATGGTGTTTCAAAATAATTAGACTAAAGGAATGTAATTGTTTTTCTGCATAATACAAAGTGTCCCAGTGTCAGCGTACAAATATTTACCAGGTGGTAGCCCAGACCAAAAGAAGGTTAAAATTCTTATATATTATTTTTCTGCGATGCACTCTCACTGAGTTACAGGGTGTTGTTTAGAAAAAAGTAATAACAACTTTCCGCAATAACTAAAAAACCCTTTCAGGAATTTAAGTAATTTTTGGGTGAAGTGTACATCTATTAAAAGTCACTAAAACTAAATGGTGCTTATTTTGATCTGACGCCAGGATTGGTCTAGGCCAACTTGTCCTCAAGGTTATGTATTCATAACTTTATTATATATGCTGAACTAAAAAGCGAGATCTTTGTCAATATGACATATTTTGAATGTATTATTTGATGATGTTTAAATTATCATAATTTCAAGATTACAGTGATACAATGTGGTAAAATAAATTGACAAATATCTACATCTCTCATAAATATACACAGTTGATTGTTTCATGCATATAATGCATTTTTATCAACAGAGGGATTGCTACAACATTCGCAATTTAATCAACTTCTGTCCCAATAATAAAAAAATTGGCAGTACCGCGGACATAATTTGAATTTTATTACCAAAATATTTATTCTTGTATTTGGATAAAAAGTTATAACTTATTACTTACATACTTATAAGTAGATATTAATTTTTGAAAATATATGCATATAATTTTGCCTAAAAATGTATTCTGTTGGATTTATATGTTTATTATATTTATAATAAACTGACTTTCCTTTAAATTTACAAACAGAATTAATAAATATTCGCATGACTGCACATTTCGCTGAACAGAAAATTAAAACCGAAATAGGGCTTTAGAAATAAATGAAGTTTGAACTTATGTATAATTAACATTATCTGTTAACTCTAGCGTAACATATTCATGCAATGTACACTATACAATATATATACAACAATATAATCCCTCTCAGTATGGGATGTTCAAGTTATACAGAGTGTTTAATAATTAAGAAAGAGACACACTTTGATGGGAGATGAGGTCAAAGTTGGGCGATTGAATAAACATTCCTTAATAAAATGTGATTGGCTACAACTTTTGGAATGTTAAATGAAAAGTGTAGTAGAAATACCCAATTAAATAAAAAATAATAAAAAACGACGCAAGTACATAATTACAGAAAACATTTAATAAAAACTTTGGAATTTCTGCAGTATTTCGAAAATGTTTTGTTTTTAAGGGAGATTTAAAAAATAGTTGTGATTTTGTACCTACCGGTAGAAGTCTCAAGTCGCTTTGTTTGTTCTTTACGTAATTTGGTCCAATAATAATGGAAAATTTGCTTCAAGTTGAGTGAATATAGCAAATACATAATTTAAAAATGAAAATACTCAAGCTCTTCATCCCTTTGTTTATGGAAATGAAACAAGATGAACATGAAAGAAAAACACTCCCTAGTAACTTTTTAGACAAAATACACGGAGACAACAGAAAGCCAAACTTGAAAAATAGAAGAACAAATGAATTAGGTAATGGAAATCTATAGGAAGCCATCTATGACACATGTCAGAACACAAAGAATCAAGAGACTGGAGGATGTGGGAAGATTGGAACAAGAGAGAACAAAACAAATACTGGCGAGAGGAACAACGAGGAAGAGTAGCAGATGAAAAGCAGACTACGGATCAAATGAATACAAATGATGGAAAGAGACTTAGAAGGGAAAAGGAATATGGTCAAGGAAAGAAAAATAAGAAATAAAATGGAAAATATGTAACCAAGTCATGGCCATTCTTGGCTAGTAGGGTTAAATACTACTGCTCCTTCATTTATACACCTTGTATATTTGTTGTTTTGAAGTTGGAGAAATTAAGTCCCATACATTTTAAGCTTTAAAATATTCCAAATCAAAACCGGTTTGGTTTTGTAATACTACTATACGTCAAATAAGTCAAGATTTCAATATTTTTGCTCCAAATTGTCGTTGTAGAACACACAAAATTAAAAAAAATTGCAATATTCAAGAGAAGTTATATTTGATTACAACATATCAGTCACATAATTTTGACGTAAGAAAATTCCTAATTAAGTCGAGTCCCATTCTTAATGAAACACCCTATATAACTGATTTATGTGACTTTTCATTCCACGTTCATCATTAGTCTTGAAAATAATGTCAATCCATGGTCTCTGGATAACAATTTTTTACAGAAAGATGAAATGAAATGTCGTTATATGGCATTCGCACACGTTTTATTGATCCAAATAAATTTATCTTACTTTTCGCCCCTTAAACTAATTATCTCGATCTAACGAATGCTAGCGAACAAAAGCATTGCATCTCTAGCTCAACCTTACCTTGGACAAGGGCATGTTATAGTTACTACCTCCCGCACCGGAAGTATTGTTGGCTGTTGGGGTTACATCGTTGAGGTACACTTGCCAGGTGGCCCTGGAATTGAAACTTTTGTCTGCGGCGTAGCACCGCCACAGACACTGGATCAGCATGGCTGCTGCAGGGATCTGCCGATTGAAATGCTTCTGGCGCTGTTTCTGTTGAACTTTAAGTGCGAAGCCGGACCCTAGTATACCCTGAAATGAAATGGGGAGACGTCATTGCAATTGCATTTTTGCGTCAAACGGAATGTTGAATAGGTAAATTAACAGATATTTATAGTTCTTATATTTAACTGTGTTCTGTTTGGTTACACAGGCCGACAGAAATTTTGGCTTTTAGATCAGATCTGATTTTTTCAAATCAAAGAGATTTCAGGTTTCTGGCATTTTTTGGGTAACCTCATGCCAATCATCAAGAGTTGTGTGATATGAACAGAATTCTTATTTTCAAAGTTTTTTACATAAGAAACTACGTATGAAAGGTTGAAAGGTACAGATGAGTACCATCGATTGACTGTCAATTAACTGTCAATAGACTATGAAATTTGCAATTACTTAATTAGAAATTAAACCAAGTAAAAACTGTATATGAAGTAGCAAAATAATCCATTTTGAAAACCCAAAGAAGTGAAGACGAAAAATCTTTCTGGAAAAGAAAAGATGCGAAAGCCCAGAGACTACAGTTACATCAGTTGCTATAAAACACATGTTATATAATATAATATAGCTTATTTATGGTACTAGTGTGTTACGGTATAGGTACATATACAAGTGTTGGATAAAATTATGACTATGATCACTACATGTATCAAAAATTAAAGAATGTTTTTGAAAAATCCACACAAGATCAGATACTACAGTAATTTTACAAGTTTTCATATAAAAATGGACTAATATTACACTACATGTCAGAAAACTACAAAATTTAGTCCATTAATAATAATTAAAAAAGCTAAAGTAAAAAATAGATGACAATATGATAATTAGTAACATTCTTTTTAATTTGCCAGAATCAGAAGAAAATAGAAACTAAGAAATCAAAACCAGAATGAAAAAGCATTCAAAATCATATACAAATTTTGTTTTAAATGCAAAAGTAATAAACACAATGTAATACAAAGCTAGCACAATTTCATCATAACCATATTTTTAAACTTTTCAAAAAATAAGAGGCTAATTTCACACTTGATTTTTCTGCATTTTTCGGAAAACCGCGAAAGATATTAGATTTTTCTCAACAGCAAAATCTTCAAAACAATCTAGCTTTCCGGAAAAAGCACAACCATTCTTTCAGTTTTATCAAAAAGTAAAGCGCTATCTTCATACACCAAAACTCATACCGAAAGACCTTGACAAATGACATCCTCAAGTTTATGGACAAAAGGGATTTGTTACAAAGAAGAACTATGTTGCAAAATAGGACACAAGCTCATTTTTTAAACAATTCCTATTATTTAATGAGCTTGCCTCGTATATTTTAAATCGTATTTTTAAAACCAAACTGGTATTTTAATATACTTTGCCAACAACTAAATTTGGTGATATTAAATGTATTCACATAGATAAAATCACGCGTTGTGTTTTCTCTACGATTCAATTTAGACAAGGGTATAACAAAATACCAAAAGGACCCGAGAAAGGTCAGAATAGAATCAATTTCCTAAACACAATAGCAGAACGTAGGTATCCAAAAATAAATTGGGAATAACCTTACGTTATCTAGATTTATAAATTATTATATTAAACTTATACACCTACCGAAAATTTTGCTGTAGGCACTAGGCACCTTCGTATAACACAGTTCTTTTCTGGGGAGAAATTTACTTAGCATTCTTTGTAAGCTGGTCCATCTCAATTGTTCTATCTTTAAAAAGGGGTCGATCTAAAATACTAAATGAAATCGGCTTCATGGAAGCAAACAGTCGGACGGTAGCAGATTGCACACAATTTACCAAGCGGATAAAAACGTCAGATAGCATCTTTAAGAAAACTCAAGCGTGAGATTTTTAGCCGTGAAAAATGCTGAGCGTGGCTGGGGAAGAAACCAATTATATCGCTATCGAACAAAATAATTTGCCGAGTCAAAAATGAATTATCAATCCAAAAATGATTTTCTACTTATTTATCAGCTGGTATACAGGGTGTCCCAGTGTCAGCATACAAAAATAACCAGGGGGTAGACCAGATCAAAATAAGGTTAAAATTCTTATAAAATATTTTTATGCGGTGCACTCTCACTGAGCTACAGGGTGTTGTTTAGAAAACATAATAAAATTTTTCCGCAATAACTCAAAAACCCCTTCAAGGATTTAAGTAATTTTTGTGTGAAGTGTACATTTATTAAAGGTCATTAAAACTACATGGTGCTTATTTCGATCTGACGCCAGGGGCGGCCTAGGCCAACTTGACCTCAAGGTTATGTCTTCATAACTTTTGCATATCCTAGTTTTATGTAATTTTATTACATTTTCCTGAATCTGCAATCGATTCTGAACAAATAATGGTCTAATAGCTCAAAAATGGACCGTTTTCGAGTAAATTAGGTCTAAAGTATCAACTGCATTAGTTCGTAGAAAAATGCATGTAAAGATTTTATTTCTTGTTATCTAGTAGATACCTGTCATTATAAATATTGTTTTTTACCGTTAAGGTACAGTTTCCCATGTAGCTGCGGCTCAATGAATATGAAGAAACTAAACAAGTTTTCTAAGAATTATTTAATATTTGGTTAACATATAGCGGAACTAAAATAATTTAAATTATTTATAGCATTTCTCATATAGTTTCATCCCTCCACAATATCTTTAGATGGAAATTTTCGTCGTTACTTATCGATATTTTCTAACAATCACTTGCAAAATTGTATCCTTTTTTCGGAATCACCAGGATGCAAAGTTTGTACTTTATGTAGGTGGTATGGTATGGTTGCAGTTCTTCTCAGTTTAAAATTCTCCAGACGCTGTTCCGTGGAATACCTACTTGCGTTGATATTCTTCGGACACTGGTGGAATCATCAACAACAGCAGCTATTACATTTTCTTCTAAAATGCTTGCATCTTTCAAATTACCTCTTATTCTGGTATTTCCAATTTTAACACTCCAGGTCTTACGGACTCTTTGGAAAACTCGTTGGAATACGTGCTGTGAAGGTTGCCTTCTGTTTGGAAACCTGCGTACATACTCTCGTGAGGCCACCAATGAATCGGCATATTCGTTGTTGGAAAATTTGGTAACACTTAATATCTTGTTGTTTTGTAAACTTAATTTCTCGTAACTTCGAGTACCGTAATGAATTTTGACATGTACGCTTGTAAACAACTTTGTTTTTTATAATAACAGGTGCCTACTAGATATCAAGAAATAAAGTCTTTACATGCATTTTTCTACGAACTAATGCAGTCGATACTTTAGACCTAATTTACTCGAAAACGGTCCATTTTTGAGCTATTAGACCATTATTTGTTCAGAATCGATTGCAGATTCAGGAAAATGTAATAAAATTACATAAAACTAGGATATGCAAAAGTTATGAAGACATAACCTTGAGGACAAGTTTAACCCTAAAAATTTATGATCATAATTTTAGTTTATTTCTGTGTAATTTAGCCCTGTAATCAATATTATTTTTGTTAGACCGATAAACAATTATTGTTAATTATTATTTTAAAAATGTACTTAATTATTACATTCCAAAAAATAGATTAAAGGAGACATAGATTCCTAACTATACAATATTTTAAGTAGGTACATTGTACCAAAATAAAGTTCACTTTTGGGTTTGGCAGATTAGAATTGTGACACCCTGTGTAATACACCTACGGCTGAGTACATGATTGTGTACCTGATCCGGCAGATAATGCGTTAACCGGGGCCCGAACGAGAGATGCTCCTAACAAGATTAATGTGGTTGGAACACCCTGATTTATACTATAAATTGGATTCTACACACGGGACTCGTAACTCGTAAAAGTTCCTTCTAAAGGTTGGCTTGATTTATAGTTCCACAACTGTGTAAAAACTATAACGGGAGTATTTTGCCGCAAATAATTCTTGAAATGTCAAACATGATTTGTCTACAACCTTTGGGAATTTAAGAGAAGGTCATTAAATAAAACCGGTTTATGTCAGAAGCCGCACCTTATGTCATTTTCCTAGCGAGTATGTTGGTTGTATTCTTAAATTGTGGAATTTATCCAGTCTGATTTGCAGGATTTAACTAAATTTACTATAAAATTACCTCCTGTATCTCCAATAATTTAAAAAGTTTCAATATTTGTAGGTATGAAACTAGAGAATATATGAAAATGTATTCAGAACTGTTTTCATGATATTGGAAGATGGATGCGGGGAGGATTTAAATAACATACCGAATTAGTTGTGAGCTGTGGTACAAAAATGTTTTCTGCTGATGATACCTACCACATGTGCTGCATCTTCATGTAATTTTAAAATAGAAAAAATAGACCCAAATCAGTCTATATTTACTTTTTTACTTACTTCTATATTTACTTATTTACTTGTTTGAAGATTCTTCCAATTTTATTTATTTTTTCGATTATTTTTTTAAATCTTCCTTAGGATTCAGTACACAGCATTGAAATTCTCTGCTCTATCTCTGCTCTATTTTATCGCCGATAAACATTAAATCAAGCAATTCTACACTTTGTAATCTGCAATGTCCTAAAGCGTCATTTTCCATCCTTTTCTTTTTTTTTAGCTCATTTCGAGGCATTGATTATAACAAGGAAAAACAATAGAGTTCTTTCAGTTCAAAATTCCTTCCATTCCTCCTGATTTATCCTAAGAATGGGCTCAATTCTTTGTTCCTAGTCTTCAGGCAAACACTTTTCTCACTGCTTATCCTCTTTCTCTTTAATATATCACAAACATTATCTCTATTAAATCTAGCCATCTGGATGTCCATAAAGTAAGTGTGTGTCTGTTTTCTCACTCAAGGCTTTCTTCTCAGTTGCTTGTCTAAGTGCTAATATTAAATCTTGTACACTTCTTCTTGGTTTGAACTAACATGGTTATCTTCTACAGTTATTTTAATTAAAAGTTTTTATAAGGGAAACCGAAAAGGTTTTAGAAACGTTGGCTTGTGATATATTGAAGTATATTTAATGCAATTGCAAATAATCATCTATTTTCCCAGTGCAATATTGTTCTGGTTAGGCTAATCTATATGTGATTCTATAGGCGCCAAGACATTATGTGAAATAACATTTGTATTTAAGAAGCCTTTATAGTTACAGTTTTGTGATAAAAATTATTAGCAAATGATATCGTATGTATAAGTATTCAAAACATCTTCATTGAGCAATAGTTGTTATTTTTTTTTTGTAATTAGCTAGAGGGTGTTTTGCAATTCCATCATTGTAATATTTCAAATATCATAAACTTGTGTACAAATGCTTTCTAAATATTTTAGCGAAATACGTAACCACTCTCACGAAAGTAGAAAGTAGGTTTTCCTGAAAAAAATTACAGACTAATCTGGCTTTGGAGCTTTTTTGACGGTGTTGATTTTTGTAACTTATGTATTAACTGCACGCTATATAAACGTGATGCACTTCTTTTTGTGCGTGCGTGTTTATGACCTATAGTAATAAATTTCCTATCGGTGGCTGACCAGTAGGCAATTAATAGAAGAGCCATTAAAGATTTACGACGTATATACGAATTTAATCTCAATCATATTTGTAACTCAATTTTTTAAAGCTAAAAATTTAAATATCATAATTTATTTATAACGATGTGTAATGAATTAACTTTTCTTTCAAAGTAAAAGATCAGTCCGAGTTTTTAGGGCTGCTTCTGAATGTTCCCATTTGCTCAAGCAGATCTCTAGGTATTAAGAAAAAGTAATTACTTTTTAAAATTCAATTCATCCACCATGTAGGCATGGATATTATATCAAATGCGTAAACCCATTAAATCAAATGTACATCTGAGCATGAACAGGTACAAGTCAAGGTGAAAACATAAAAACCAACCATGGTAAACAGCCTCGATGGGAAATCAAGCGGTTGGAATGTTATTCTGCTTCGTAAAGTGTCAGACTGAAAGCCAGAATCGATTAGAGTGGAAAAATAAAAACGTTAGAAAACATTTTTGTAGCCCCAGCATATTTGACAGTTGACTGTATCGGTCTAGCAGTCAAGCAGTTTACCATGCCTGGAGTAGCAATTACGTTTATAAAGCAGCAAATGCTACATTACTTTTGGGATACCCTTTACGTTCATAAACTTCGGTCATCCCTCGTACCTTCCCGGGCTTGTGGTCTGATGGAAAAAATATACAAACGAGATATCCGTTCTCCATCTCCTTAGCTCTGTACGTGTCTACCTTCAGTTTTCAATTATTCCTATAGTAAAGTATTTCCAGACCAGATTTTACCGCAGTGAGATGCTAGAAATCGATGTTATCCTGAGATATGAAAGGGTGACAATAAATTGGTATGCCATCTATTCCGTCAAGTTTTATTCATGTAAGGGAGAATTGAAGTTCTTATTTGTCCTTTTTGTATTCGTGTTTTTGAATTTAGTTGGTTTAACTCGCATAAAAAATGCATACTCAGCATATACACCAATTGCAAGTATTGATATAAAACGGATTTAGCAAAAACTGAGTTAACTGATGTCACAAACTTGTATCGGAAATTTAAGGTTATAGAAAAAGAGGCTAATTAAAAATTTGTTTAAAACTGTTTTGGAACTGCTGAAATACATGTATTTTATCGCGGCAGCTACTTAACAAAAAATTATGTAACACTTTTTACGAGTTTGTAGGTTTCTTATGAAACCGGACTGTATTCGAAAGTCAGTTTGTGATACATTGTTGTAGTGATTGCTGTGATGTTTTTCGGGAGTACATTTAATAGCCGTATTTGGTGGGTTCTATGAAAATCAGCAGTTCTCATTTACCTCATTTTGACATAACGGACATGTGGCAAAAATATTTGACATAAGTTCATTAACTATTCTATTAGCTCTTGAAGTTTGTTGGTTCATTTTTGTATACTTTTTAATATCGAATATCTACATAAGTTGAAAACCTGTTTCTTCCAAACCTAGTAATTTCATCATACTTTTTATATAAATGTTCGTCTTGAACATTAGGTTAGAAATGCGTAGCACACTCCACACTTAAGAAATCGCGTCATACTTGAATATTTCTAGATGAATCCATCCGTACTATAAAAGAGACAAAACAGGAAATAGGAAACTCTTTTGAGAGGCAGATTGCATATATTCTTTCCCATATAGGCTCACGAATAACGACAGGAGTAAATTTTGTGCCATAAAAAATATCAATCCGCTGCGTTCTCGCTAAAATCTCGGATACTGGAAGATAGATAGTAATTCTCTCTGGGGCTTACTTTGAATTCAGCGTCGTTTTATTGATGTCGCAGTAAGATGGTGGCAACAAATGGGACAGATGAGATAGCGTGACTCATTTGGAAAATAATTGGGTGGTGGTTTCTCTCTTACTGTATGATGCTAACTAACATTTGTTGGTATACATATTAATGTTCAGTAATTTCTGATCATCTGCTTGCCATATCTTCTCATATAAAATAATAATTCAAGAAGTTCGGTTATTCTCTGAACTGGCCCCGTATGTATACCAATATTATCCATTCCCACTTTTAAAATATACAATGACACTATTCAAAGATAAGAAGCAATGGATGTTTTCGAATAAATCACTGTGCAAATTTGAAGAACTTTTACAAAATGTATGTCATAAAATTTTGTACTGTAATGCCTACTTTACTTTTCTGGATATATTTTACGGCAGAGCGCTCCGATGAATAAAATACTGCGCCACATTCATAACTCCAGGAAAATATGTAGAGCACAGTTTGGTCGTTGCATTCAACAAGCTATTGATCGGATAAAGCTTAAATCTGAAAAGTTTTATATGGAATGGAGGGACTAAACATTTATTTGACATTTTTACTGTACGTTGTTTATCATTTGTTTCAGAATAATCTTGTAAATTAAACGACTTCTTTTTCTAAATAATGACCTTAACTCTGATTATGAATATTAACATATAATTTACATACCGTTGAAATAAGGAAAAATATGAATTTAAATAAGGCACGTGTGCTCTAAATTCTAATCCCGCTTAAAAAGTGCTCTATCGATTGTGTCTCTCATTAGTGGCAGTCTCACTAATGATAAATTCAAGAGTTGCGTGTATATTGCAATTAATTTTCTATACTATGTAGGTATATCAAATATTAACTCTGGTGGTATGTTGAATAAATATTTATTTATATTACCTTACTTGGAACAAGGCAAAGGAATAATGATCATTTCTGTATACCTATATTGAAACAACTGTTAGTAAATTTCATGATAAAGTTGTTTAAGCTATAAAAGAAAAGGCTTAACTAATGGTTTACTGATATTATTTCAATTAATAAACGAAGTGTATCGGAATAAAAAAAATACTAATTACCTACTTTATTTGACACTAAAATGGAGATAGCAAATTGACACACCAATTTGATAAAAAAAGTTTTTATATACCGGGCAACCTTAAAATACTATTAAGGAGGTGGTCTTTTATATTTAATGGTTAAAAAAATGTCACTTACGGCTGGAAGAGCAAAAAAGGATATAGCGAACACACTGAAGCAGGACGCCACAATCTTTCCCATCCAAGTACGAGGCACTGTGTCACCATACCCTATCGTGGTGACCGTGATCACTCCCCACCAGAGAGCGTCAGCGTAGCTGGAGAAGCTCCCTGTTGTTTTGCCATCTTCATCAACGGCGTCCTTTTCGGCCAGGTACACGAAGTAACTACTAAAAATGAGGCCCAAGAAACCTATGTATAACGTCGTGATAAGTTCCTGTAACAAATTAAATATGAATTGAACGGTAATACATTTTTATGAACATTTAACCCTTAGGAGCAACATTAGACACGTTTAAAAATGTCTTAATTATCAAAAAACTGCACTGTCTGGCTCCAAGCTATAAAAATGCTGCATTTTTCAATTTTTCCAATTAGCTACTTCAAAAAACGATGTCGGTTATAGTTCAAAATTTGCTGCAATAATGATTTTCCAGATAATTTGGTGGATCAATATTGAAACATATATTATAAATTTGATTAGTATATTATACCAATTTGCCTTAAACTACTTGATGTCTGTATCTATTCCGAGTTTTGCGTTTAACTATCCAATGTTTTTTGAAAGATACTTGAACCTTTAAGAATCGATTTAGGAAAAATGCAACGCTCTTGTAACACTTTAACCAACCATTTGGCCAGATGGTGCACAAATACAAAGACAACTATAATTACACTCAGTTACAATTGGAATCGAATTTGTTTGACATATTCAAGTATTGAGGCATTATTATTGACGTTACTAACCTGCCTGTGGATAAACACTACGGAACCAAGCAACCTCCAGGTACCTCCTTGTCTGTCCACATGCAACATGCGAAGGATTTGAAGGAAACGTATACCTCGTATTGCTGAAGTTGCGAAAACTTGGCCATTGGAACCCAATGTGAGGACTACTATCGAAGCAACTACTACTATTAGATCTGTAAGATAAGAAATAGAATTAATGGTATATTGCAAATGTTTTCAGATAGTTTTTTTCAAAATTGACTTTAGTTGCTCACATCACCGTTTCTACCTATATTTTGATTTCTCATGAAGTATTTGTAAAACACAATCTATTCAATTATTGATACGTTACAAGAGGATATAAAGGGTTTTTGGTTTATGTTGAACCTTCTTCCAAGGCTTTATTGGAATAGTGCACTGTGAACTATTCACTTTGTAGCTAAATTAGTTTGTAAATTATTAACTTACCAATTATACATATAGGTTTCCTTATAAAGCGTAGTCTGCCCCAAAATCCCATGTATTTTGATCTGCATCCTGCTGACCATAATCGTACTAAATACTCGGCACCAAAAAATACTACAAGGCATATTTCCTGCAAAAGAAGATGATTTTTTCAAAATTTATAGAAGTAGCAAACCATCAAATTTTAACTAAAAAATGTCTATCCTCCTCTTTAATAATGTCATGTAAATTTAGAAATTTTTTTTTTATTTTTTTTAAAAAGCCGCTTACAGAGTGGAATTTTTTATGTGAACTCTAATTAATTTCTAAAACCGGTCTTGGAATTTCTGAATTTTATATCACCAAAATATTAGAGATTCTGAACACACCGTTCAAATATTGTATCTAAAAGAAATTTTTGTCTAAATTCGCAAATTATATTAATAAAGATCAATAAACATCCAATAAATAATTTGAAAAACTTTTTAAAATTTGTCTTTACCTTGATGCTAGATTTTTATTTTAGATTTCTCTCTGCATATACACTCTGTTACAAGTTTGACTGCTTTAATTTTAACAGACGATAGAATACATTAAAATAAACAAAAAAAACCGTATATGACATGGGTCCTAAACTCAACCATTTCCGAGGAAAAAATTATTAAAATCTTTAAGGAATATTTACATAACATGGAATACCATAAAATACAATGTTTATCACTTTTTTTGAACTTCTTTATACTTAATTTTAAACATATTAATGTAAAAAGAACAAATACTATTGTAAGATAAAGTAAGTATCTTAGTTACTCTCAGTTAAAATTGTTTAAAAGAATACAACTAATATTCTGGATCGCTATTATCTTTGTTTATAAATGTATGTTATAGTTAGACAACCAGTTAAACTTAAGTTTTCAAAAACTAGATGGCGACTCTTCTATAAAGTCCCTATCGCCTTTGTTCGTAGTAAAAATAAGGATTAAAAAGTTTTATAGAAATGTTATCATCTAATATTTTAAAAGCTAGGTCTAAATGGTAGTTTAATTATATTATACGTTGACTGAAAGAGAAAATATTTCAATCAAGGTATTATATAAAGACCAGCACAACTTCAGTTCAATTAGAAAATCCTATGGTGTACAGACGGCGTTAAATGATAACTTTTTTAAATAGAGGGTATACTGACTAAAATAAATTAAGTTGCCATATTAATGTGTAATAGAGTGTTTTTTTTTCAGAATTAAAGGTTTCATAGGTTTATCTATAATCATAAGAAATATATTGCTATTAGAACAAGCCATAATTACGATGTGGCTATATCTTTCTTGCCATAGAGGACCATGTGTTCAAATAAAATACACGAAGTTTGTTGTCACTTTTTTGTTTTGAAAAAACTTAAGTACATATCATATCAATATAAAATACTTATATTTGATAGCAATAACTTTTTTACTTAGCATTTTTTTTTCTCAAACTTAAAAATTATAAAATATAACATTAATAATTCTAAATATTGTATTTTTTTAATTTTCAAGCCAACTTTTTGTAAAGTTAAAAAAGTTGAAAGGTAATGAACCATATTCATACAATATTATCTCTCTCTAAAAATGCTGCTTTAATTTTGTAGACAATTATCAACATACTTTGAAGCAAATCCTTAGAGTGTCTACAATAAAGATTTCTGCACATTTTATCCCTTCGTTCTCTCCTCGGATCACATCGTAAACAGGATTTGAATTTGTAACAAAATGGGGCTATAAAGCTATTGATTTGCTGAATATGAAATGGCATTAATCAGAATTCAACGCAGCGACTGCATTAACCTTTTACTGACGGTGGGCTTAAAAGTATCTATAAGCGATTTATGTCCAAAGAATGTTAACAAATGTTTCCGGATGCCTAGCGCTTAATGGCGGTAAATGGTATCATCCGTACCTGTCAGTCAGTAATGAGTTGTTTATATTCCGTGATGACTTTTAAAATAATAGTTACGTTCTGCCGAAGCTTTTACTACTCATTTTTATAAGAAATGGTATTAATTCTATAATTCCATTTTTAAATACAGAATTCGACAAATGCCATACTTGGTTGTAAGCAAGCACCTTTATTAGTGAAAAGTATATAAATTACATTGTATTGTTTGATAAGCCAGAAAACAAACACTAGGGTGTACATAAATTACGTGTTTGCTTAATTATAAAAAATTATCGGTAATAATCTAACGTGTCAAATAAGGGTATAAAATGTTACGATCATTTGGGAATTAAGTTGGGGTGGAAATTCCCTTAGAAAAACATTTTCACATAGAAATATTTCATATTAATGTATTTTTTTGTATAAATCGAATAAAAATGGTATACGCTCTGCTCATATATTCATATCTATAGATTTTCTCCGGGCTGAGTAGTTATGACATCGAAATTTTTTCTCTCGATTAAAACGTTATTTTCGTAACCAGAAACAGAAACGAAAATGGCAAAGAATAATGTTTTTTGGTTCCAGTAACACACATTTCATTTTCAGCAGGAATTTGATTTAATTGTAATTAAAAATTTGATGTATTTAATAACGCAGTTCAAAAACTATAAATAATGTTATGTTTAAATCTCTGTAATGATTCTTATTTTAGAAACATTCAATGAGGTGAATTTAATGAGACCCTACTATTAATAACTTGCAGAATAAAAAATATTTGAAATTAATGTGATTTCCTATTATTATTGTTATTGTTGATGATGTTGTTGTTGTCGTTGTTGTTGTTGTCGTTGTTGTTGTTCTTGTTGTTGTGGTTGTTGTTGTTTTTGTTTTTATTATTATTTTCTAAACCAAATTTCAATAAAAAGTTGTTACTATAAATAAAATATTATTAGAAACAATAAAGAAACTTGACATCGCTGTACTTAAGACCAAAATATATTTAGAGTGGGAGAGCAAAGAGGAATTAAGGAAACTTCAATTGAAACAAGAAAATATACAGGGTGGGCCAAAAGTACCGGAATGGCAGGATATCTGGGAATATTCAAAGGGTAAGGCAAAAGTAAAGCACTAGGGGTGTAGGATTTCCCCCGATGGTGACCTTGAATTTGACCTGGACCTTGACCTTCCAGGTCATATCAAGGTCACGACAATTTTTTTGACTGGGACCCTATATTTTTGACCCCGGAAATGGAAAAAGCGGAACGTTTTACATTCGGATATGACCTTGAAATCACCATAAAGGTCAAGATCAAGGTCAAACATCAAAGATAATGGAAGGTCATTGTTGGTCAGTAGTGATCGCCGAAGGCAACATATGTTATCTTTTAATCAATACAACATACGACCGCGGTCGTTTATTAAAGGTCACTAAAAGCAACAGTTGGTCACAGTTGGTCATTAGTGGTCACCGAGGGTCTTGGATGGCCAGTAGTAGTCCTCGATGGTAACGGAATAACCAACTTGACCTTGAAATGACCGGAGGATAAGGGATTTGAAGTCAAGGCAGGTCCAATTCCAAGGTCACCGGTTTAGGTCCATCAAGAATCCTGGAACTATTGTGGATAACATATTTCCTGCCATTCTGGTACTGCTGAGCCACTTTGAGACTTTTTGATATTTGACCTTGATCTTGACCTATTCTAGGTCACCATCGGATAACCAGGGAAAAATCCTAAACCCCTAGTGCTTTACCTTTACCCTATTCCTTGAATATTCCGAGATATCCTGCCATTCCGGTACTTTTGAACCACCCTGTATAATCTCCTATTGAAAAATATGCATGTCACCAATTTTAAAAAGTACTTCTTGTTACTTACATTGACGTTGCCATAGTCAAATGTTTTCTCGACCAAGGATAAAGTCAATAGAAGAAAGAGCTACTAAGTGTCCACCGTGTACAATACATACTCGTAATTATTATGGGCCTGAATTCGACCTTTACATTTTTCTATGCGCTACAGTTCTCAACAGTCTAGCAGTCTAATTCTGTTAATGAGTTTAATCAGCGACGTACTGCGCTTTTAATTTTATGAAGGTTAATAATTATATTTACATTCCACATTCACGTAATATCCTCTACGCGTTGTACTGTGATATGTCATGCTGCTTTCTAAGTAGGTGAGTATTTTATGAGTCACCTGATACCATGCCATGTGATTTACAATTTATTTGTGAACATACTTAGCTGTAGGCTATTTATAATTATTTAACAGTATATTTATTGTAATATTTTCATTTTAGAGAATTCATTGTGATAAGTGTTGTGTGGTAATGAAATGACGGACTCCTGTTATTATAATCAAAATAGCTTCTTCGACTATTTCGAAGAAAATAAATTGATTTCATGTATAACTGGTTTTACGTTTACGGTGATATTCATATTCATCTACATACTGAAGGCTTATACATTCTTCGACAAACGTTGCATTCCGCGGGCAGTTGACCCAACAGCGCCTTTCGGAAATATAAAGGATGTTCTATTTCAAGAGACAACGTTCTACGTTTACTTATGGAAATATTACAATAAATTCAAGCGGAAAGGATTCAAGTATGGCGGGTTGTATTTGTTCTTTAAACCAAGTATATTAGTAGTCGACTCAATAGTTATGCAAAAAATTTTGACAGAACAGAAGTGCATAACTGACGGACATAGAAACTATTTTCCCGAGGTCAGCACAGTTGTAGATTTGTTTACGGAAGATAATTTGGAAAACTTTCTTCTTCGATACAGTAGTATTAAAGATACATTATTAGTGGATTTAGATGAAAAATGTGCTTCGACTGTGCTACATAATTTTTTTATGGAAACCACATCTTCTGCGTTTGGATTTAAAATAAGTTTAGAAGCTCTACCTGCAATAAACGCGCTGCTAAATAAAAAGACAAGTTCTGGCTTCAAATATTATCTTGGTTTAGTATATCCTGCACTATTTGAAAGAAATAAACTCGTCCCAGAAATGCAAAATCTATTAAAGGATATTTTCGAGTACAGGAAAAAGAATGACATACGAGAAACTGATTTAATACAGTCGTTTATTGATTTATACAATGATGGTGATTATAACCTCAATGATGTGATACTGGGTATATTTGATATCATTGTTGACACTATTATATACTCCTATAGCTCGCTGATGTTTTGTTTGTATGAATTAGCCTCTAATAAAGATATTCAGAAGAACTTAATCCAAGAAATCGAAAGATTTAATAAACAAAATAAATCCGTAGGATTAAAGGCTTTACGACAACTATCTTATCTGGATGCGGTCGTAAAAGGTATGGTAATATTTATTTCATATGTGTTACTGGTTATTTAATAACAATCAGATAATTTATATAAGGTTTCCAAATGGATTATGTCTGCTGTTAGAACGAATCTATTGAATTGCTTTTATATGCTGATGAACTAAAGAGTGTCACAAAATTAACGCAGGATTTGAATTGTGTGCCATTTTCATTCCGAAAAAGTTGGCAGCATTGTGTTTAAACAAGTTGTAGTTAGATAAAATATAGCGCTATATGACGGATGATCAAGTGAAGATTGTGAAAATTCATTACAAGTAGGTACGGAGAGTGTGTAGCTGAGACTGTGCAGTGGAATTTTCGTGCAACAACTGTGAAAAGAATTTGAAGAAACAGATTCGGCTGCAGACAATAAAAAAAACAGGCCGATCTCGTACTGACCGTTCAGTCGGAAATATTCCTACGGTGAGTTTTTAACGAAAGATCTGCATCCATTCAATATTCAGCTAACCCAGGAATTGAAACCAGACGACCATTTAATGCGCAATTTTGCTAAGAAAATCACCTTTAGCGACGAGATACATTTTCATCTTAGTGGGTATGTGATCAAGCAAAATTGTCGAATTTGGGACAGAGACAACTCTCAGTTCATTCAAGAACGACCACTGTATACCCAAAGAGTGACAGTGTGGTGTGTGGATTTTACACTAGGGTTGAGTGGTTAATTCTTTTTTGTAATTCGTTTGCACAATCCTCACTCGCTCATTCGTCATTTTGTCTAACTGCAACGTGTTTACTACAACATGAATGAAAATAGCGCACAATTCAAGTCCTGCGTTACTTTATATCTTGTTGCAGTGTTATATTGCACGTTTTTAATAAACGATATTTTGTGAAACAGATTATCTGCGTACTTAGGCTCCCTGTAGCACTGAATTATACCCACAATATCCAGCAACTACTAGCAGCTAAAACTTAGTCCGCAGAATACACCGAGGGAAATAAACCAATAAGAAAGCTAAATACACATTTTTATGGCAAGAAAATCACTTATTAATGTCTAAAAACCTAGTTATTTGAAGTAAAAAAAAAGATATTTGCTGTTATTGTTATAAAACACGTCCTTCCAACATGAAGACCTAGCAGCCACAATAAAAACTTTTCCTAGGGTAGAAGATTGTAGTGTAGTTGCTGTAATAACAAAGTGGAATTGCAGCAATAAATCAAAAAGTAATAAAGAACAAATATTTTTGGTTATAACAGCAACGCTAACTTTTCTGAAGCCTATTTATCGCAAATATTTTGTTATTGTTAATCAATTTGTCCTTATGGTTAAAAGATACTTGCCCCAGTGTAGCCGTTTCCTAGAGTATTATTAGGTAAATCGTTTATTTCTGTTAGTGCGACACTAGTCAGATTAGTAGATCGCTCTCTGCCAGCAGATACGAAAGAATGGGTCTTCATGACAGTTAAGACATAATGCACGGGATTATATGTCGCCCACAATTAAAATTTGTATGTATCAAGTTTACGCCATAGGTAACATTTAGTTGTTTTTGAGATTTCTGTTTTTTAAATCTTCAAAAATTGTCAATAAATCTTTCAGGATATTATCTAATAACTTTGCCTTATCATATAATACTTTACTACGTCTTTCTTTATTTTTATATGAATCAAACTCAGGTACCTATCTTATAATGTCAATCAAAAATGACAAATTGTTACTTGTATTTGGTACAAATATTTAATCCCATATATAAAATGTAACAATTTTTATTGTTTTGTTTTATGAGCAAAATGCCTCAATTCTAATCTGGCAATACTTAAATGACTGATTTTAAGCAAAAGGGATCATTGGTTCATTATTATCACTATTTAATAGTATCTCAAAAACACAAAGTATACAAAGTTCAAATTTGAGACAAGTGACCTTCCTTCTGGACCTAGATATATAAAAATGTTTTTGTTTCATTTCTCTCTCACCTGTCTCAGTTAAATTAGAATTGGGACACTCTGTAAATATATGGATTTCATTTATTTGACTTGTTCTACTTTGGATTTGTTAATTATTTAAATTTAAAATGTTTAATTAGTAGATACCTACGATAAATGCAAATACAACTTACTTTTGATTTCTTTTTTACTGTAAATGACACTGATATATTTTTAGAGACACTTCGGAAATATCCACCTGTTCCAACAATTATTAAAAAATGTAAAGAGTGTTATAAAATTGATGGTACTAATTCAGAGCTTCCAAAGGGTACTTTTATTTTACACTCTGTTATGGGTGTTCATTATGACCCTCTTAATTATTCAGACCCAGGAAAATTTCGACCTGACAGATTTCTTGAGGCACCGAACAAAGTTGACATGTCGAATGTGTACATTCCTTTTGGTCTGGACAAACAGAAGGAGATAGGTAAGTAGATAACAAATTAGAAACATTACATATTTTCTGTCTACTTGTCTTCGCACTTGCTCTTTTTAGTTTCTTATTTCTAAGTACATATAATTAAATAATGAATTACTAAAATATTTATTAAAGTACTTTCATATTGTAACAATCAATTAGGGAATGTTTGACCGAGATGACATAATTTTTTTTAATCGTATAATAACTTATGTCAAATATTTTTCTTTCAGGATTCCGTTTTACTGTATTACATGTTAAATTGGGCATTATCAGTATTCTTTCGTCATACAGTGTAGGTATGAACAGCAAAAGTGCCATGGAATTTGATAACAAAAAGGTGCCAGTTTATCCAAAGGAGCCATTGCCTATAGTTTTTGAATCCATTCTAAAATGAGAGTTTATTTAAACTTAAAAAATACTTGTGAAATGTTACATTATCTTATTTGTTGTAGTTCGCTCTGAAGTATTTATTTCTTTTTCAATGTTTAGTAATATGATGTGCTCTACGGTCGAAGGTTGTTAATATTCACAACAATAAAAAAGGAAAGAGATATTCGCGCACTCTTTTTGGTAATTGTGTTAATAGTATGTTACTGATCATTTACTGAAGGAGTTGTTTGACACAGAAAGAATACATAAATGTTTTTCTATGGAAATAATAGCTTACGGCTAGGACTAAAGATATTGCCTTATTATTATCTTTACTAAATAAATGTTAATTAAGGCTTGGTGTTTTATTTAAATGTCTGTGATTGTTGACAGCAATTATAGTCTTACTGCACGCAAAAAAAAATTTTGGCTTCAAATGTACAACATTTGATTTTCAGGTATCCCACGTTTATATATACGCAAGAAAATATTTTCTTCTTTCAAGAAAATTATTTATTTACATATTTAAATACTTTAAATTTTTATCCAGAAGTATAATATCTTACTTTAAAAATAGGTACAGGAAGCATTTAAAATAAATATTTGATACGTTACGTTTAAACGAATTCTATTCTTAATTTTATTATCTATATAGATTTTATAAAAACATGTTTTGTATTGTATATTAATGTATCGTCTGTTTAATACAAAATTGAATAGTTTTGGTCAAATGATTGTATGTATATACTTATTTTAAGAATATATTTGGATATAAATATTTCCCAGTAATAACAAATATTTTGTTTCAACGATGTGTATACACAGAGCGTAAGTGGCTCCATCTATCGTGCTACTTCCCACATACGCCATTCTGTGACCTACTACAATTTTCTTTCAAGAAAACATAAGTTTGATTATAATATGCTATATTTGTCTTGAATAATTCCTATATTAATACTAAATTTTAAATATAAGATATATTTTAAGGAACTGGTAGTTTTGAAACAAATATGTATATTTACAAATGATATAAATTCTAAGAAAAATTAGATTACATAAAATATTTTACATAGTTTGAGGAAAGTATATACATTTGAATAAAATAATTCTATTTAAAACTATCTGCTCATTTGATCCAAATACTTTTTTAGTGTGTAGTGTGTAAATATAAAAAAGGCATGCCTTGTCACGTACTTTAGTAGATTGTTTGAAAGTTTGTTTATGAAATTACCCTACCTATTTCAAGTAGGTATAACAAAAATTAATGACTGCAACAATCTAACATAAATTATCTTTTTAAGGGGCTTTTTAACTGATTTCAATTAAATTAATTATGCTAAATAGATTCCGTGCTAGCGTGTCAGAAGTTTGTCCCAATTTTATAGTACCAAGCCACAACCAGCTGCGATTATTATTTTTTTTCTTTTGGAAAAAATAGAGGAGTATTAAATATTAAATCAAATTCAGGAAATATTGTGTCAGAGAAATGATGAACTAACAAATTGCCAAAGGGATATTTATTCCGAAAGTATATTGAAAATGTGATTTAATGTCGACTGTAGATGAATTATTGAACGTATTTGCGTATTTATTCACCGAAATTCCCGTAGGTAATGTTCCATAGTCTGTCGTTTGTAAACTCCTGTGGTACGCGCATTTTTACTGTCGAAAATTGGTGAAATCTCTGATAGTTTGTAACGAATCATCGCTATAAATATTTTACTAACATATCCCAGTATAATTTGCTCCAAAGTTTGTAACGATTTCTAATGTTTTCAGGAAAATTTATTCGAAATGGAATTCATTTTAAAATTAAAATAGATAGGTACGTTGGTCTATGGTAGGTACCTATGTATGGTCTGAAAAATACTTTTCTAAATTAACTGAAAATTGATTTAAAAATGTCCCAAAGTTGTTTTATTTTTTTGAACGATATTGTATATTATGTAACTATAAAAAAACTAAATTACATCAGCAAATATTTATAGAAATTATTAGAGCTAGCAGTCTTACAAAAGGTAATATTTGTGGATTCACAGTACTTTTGCTTCCCTTATTTGGAACAATAAAATTGCTTCAACAGTCTGCAAACTATCTAAATCCAGTCAAAACCACAGTTGTAGTTCAGATAACAAATACCCTTGTTTGATTTGTTACGAATTCTATGCTGGATGTGTTCGCCTTTCAAATAATTCCTATTTTACGTTTGAATTGCAATTTGGATAAAGAGGACGAAAGGAATGACATTTTCTTGTGTACACAAACACAAAGCATACATTCAAAATAAGGCCAATAATGTATATTTTGCTCCGTTAATATCTTAATATAGAAACTGAAGTGATAGACAACATACAGGTTACAAATAATACTCTTAAAGGAATATGTGGAATTTAAATATAAATAAAACCATTAAGGCGTTCAAAATGTGTAATATGTTCGTAAAAAATATACTCATTCTATATGGACTGTTCCCCTTGTTGTGAGTATACATAAATGCAGCAACATCCGACTATATCAAAGAAGAAATCATACACCGCGGGCAATATCCGGAAAAGCAATTATTGTTATCCACGTTGCACGCTCTCGAATTACGTAAGCACTCACAGCAACACAATGAAAACAATGCATACCGAATTAGGAGGAGGGCAGAAAATAAAAGAAAAATTATGCAGGCCTCTCGTTTGAATACAATATTTACGCAAAACATACGTTTTGTATTGCTCAGGCTCTATCTATTATACATGTGACTGGGGGGTATTATGGTTGTTATCCTCCATCCAGCCTAGAATGTTCGGGAAAAGGTTGTGAGGATTTTCAAGACGCTACCCTATAAAAAGCGCGCATCCGATGTAAAACGTGTCCAAATTGAAATTTTCGCTAAGTGGCGGGATAAGTTATCATTTTTTTTAGAAATAAATTTACCATAAATTCTAGACGGTTCGAAATATACACATTAAAAAATTGAATTTGAATTATTGTTGCTGTTAATAGAATTAGTAGACAATTCAAAAAGACAATTCAACTTACTAGTAGACACTAGTAAGCTGAATTCATTGTTCCTCAACACATCGACGTGTTTAAAAGTTAAATTGGAGTAGTTGAGTTAGAATTTACTTCATGTTTTGAAAATATTTCTCATATGTCATCGCATACGCAACATTTTGCCATTGTATCATTAATGATCTATCTAAAACATTCTAATTTTTGACTGCTCTACAAAATATGTCTCATCAAAATGAAGAAAAAAAGAACCAGGTCATAGCTAGCATGGTGTAGCTCAATAAAATATAGTTCTCTTCTGTTTAGAAAGAAATTGATATCATCATGAATAATAGAATAGTATTAGGTACGTTAGTTTTTCAATATTCATGTAATTATTGCCCTGTAAGAAGTCCTTGATAAAGAGTAACGTATAAAAACATATTTTTATCAAGATAAACTTTTTCAATTAAGAAACAATTTTGGTTGAGTTGAAGTACACGTTAAATACAAAGGACATAATAGGTAAAAAATTCGGAGGAAGATTCAATTCACATTATTTTCACTGACTTAAAATATATAGAATGAAAAACGTTAGAAATCTTCCGTATCTAAGCCACAAAATTATTTTTTAGACGTAAACTTTTATCAAAGAGTGTAATTTAATAAACAAGATACTTTCGAAAGTAAACAGGACTCTTCAAAAATAGGTATTTCTAGTGAGGGCAATCTATCGGCGATTATATGCGCCGAAAAGGTAGATTCCATCAAAGATCAGCTAAAATCTTCATTGAAATTCGTGGAATTGAAATTGAACATTTAAAAAACATAAATTTATCGCAGTTTGGCAGAATAAGTCAAAATTCAAGACACTGTTGATTTGCTCTTACGATTCCAAGGGCATTGTTCATAAAAAGTTTGTTTGGCTATTGCCAAAAATAGTTTTATGTTAGTTCACTTGGAAACCGTTAACAATTATTAACTGCCCTTTTCATTTTTTGCCAGCGAACTGAAATATAAATAAATGAATCCGCTTTCCCTCAATTTATACCATAATTAACTAAAAATATTTGACATTCCCTACATACTGCGTATATCAAATCTGTCACCTGCGAGTAAAACAGAGTGAGACATATCACCAACGAAAAAGACACATTAACATTTTCTAGCTTGTTCCCATTCCTGTCAAGGTAATAATTACAATATTCATTATGTCGGGAAAAATGTAAGATCAGTTGATAACGAAACGTTTTCCATTCCAGAGTAAGGTAGGTACACTTTCTCTAATTTATGGAAAACCATTCTTTAGACTATTTCTAAAGTAATATATCATATTCAGTTCGTAATATGCAAATTGAGAAAGGGTGAGAATCTTTTAAGAATGACTTAAATATGCAAACATTATTGACGCGGAAAGGCAATATCTGAATACATTAGTGTCAGGGTTGATTTATTATCTTTGGACGACGTGTTTGGTTAAAATATTTGTATTATAATATTTTGCAATATTTTACGTGTTTGAAATATGAAATGTGAATATTTGTTAGATAATAATTTTATATATCAACTACCAAAATATAATGAATTATTATACGGATAAACATTTAATATTACTTTTCAGAATCACATTTTTCTTTTCCACAAACCCGTACAATTTGTCCAATTCCAGACAGCGGGCTTATGTTCAAATTCTATTAAGCCCTGAAAGACATTGAAACTAAAACGTACGGCTTTGGGAAAGCACAAAAATCCGGTGTATTTGAATTTTCAGCCGAAGCATATATTTAGGTGTCTTTGTCCGCGCTACGAGTAAAACATCCGTAGATTTAATGAATACGGCTGGCCGAGCCGGTCTCCCATACGGAAAGCCTCATTCTGTTCTGCATATCAGACCTATCTAGTATATCATGTCATTTATTTAAACCTTTAACTCCTACGCCTTTATGTTAATATAATAACAGGATTGATGGGCTGCAATTTGTGCTAAAAATATAAAAATAAATGGATACTTTAGCGGGTGCGTGAAAACGGAAGAAAACATCAATCATTTCTTTTTATCAAATGCCAGGTTTTAAATGATTAAGGAAGACTAATGGTAGGGACTTTTCTAGGCCCAGTTTAAAACTGTTAATTCGTATCTATACAAAAACGTATATTTCAACATGTACAGCGTCTCTCTGACCTCATTTTCGCAAGACAACGTAAACAAAAAATAAGTGGTCATGTATTCTGAAATGAAACTTTTCTATAAAAAAATTGATATGTGTGCTGATATTGTTGACAATTACATAAGTCACTGTAGAAAATAATTTTAGGTCATATAAAAAAATAGAGCTGTCATAATGGGCCGCACACCAAAGGCGTGCGGATCATCAACATAAAATAAAATGAACAATGATCATAAGACCTCAACAGTTCCTGGGATAGTTCATTATTTTTATATTTAGGGAATGGTATGATATATAACCTCAGTAATTGTTTGTCAGTTTTCAGTTCTGTCACAAATCAACAAAATTATACTGAGGCTTTTAAATTTTGAGGTTCCGTCTTTGCATTTTGGTACTGGAACTTCAGCTGGTTTAAATGTTTCAATAAATATTGTCAACAGGTTAATATTCAAACTGCTGTATCTTCGCACTTTTTTAGTAACAAATGTGTATACAGAGTGATTTGAATTGGATATGATAACGATAAAATTAATAATTACAGCTGTCTTTTGTCTCTAATGGAAACAAGTTTTCGATTTCCAATTACGGGCAGAAATTGCTTAGTAGAGGTAATAGCGATCGTTATCCATTATACCACCGATAATAGTTTATTCTGTTCTGACCCCCTCTTAGTTTTGAAGTCAATTATTATGCTCAGTAATATATCATGGCAGTACAATAAGTTCCGTAACAAAGCACAAAGACAACAATTATGTATTGTGTGAAACTCACGAAATCTATTGAGATATGACGACCTACGGAGCAAATGTTAATACAATTAATTAATGAATTACTAAAGCATAATATACCTTACCATAATGTAAACAGTATTATTAGAAATAAAGTAAAACTAGACTAATTTCGAATATTGAAGAATCCGCTAAGGTGGAATATTCGATCTTAGAACGGTAGATAATAAATAAGTTGGGAAGTCTAAATCAATAAAATTATTTAATGAATTTTTCAACAAAACTTGTCTCTAATTTTGTATCTACTTTCAAGGACAACAGCTAATTTATAAAGGAAATGAAAAGGCAGGCAATTCCTATAGGCATGTTGTAAAATTGTTTATGTTAATAAATGAATATACTTACCATCCAAAAGAGAGTTTCGTTGGCAAAATTCGAATACGTGTCGATGGTGGAAAGTACACTGAAGATAAGACACACCAACACTAGCATAAATCTGAAACAATCAAACACTGTTGTTACTGGAGTTATTGAAGTTGCTTTATTATTGCAATAATAATGGCAGTTTGCCACATTTTTAAGTAACTGCTGTTAGATTAATCGTTACTGAAAATTTAACTCAATATTTGGGAAAAACTATTACATAAGACTTAATGGCAAAATATTTGTTTAACTTTAACACCCTGTATCTTTTTAACAACGCATCCTAGATAAAAACTTTATACGAAGAATACAAAGTTTCATTTTTGGTCACCGTTTGTGAATCACCCTGTATAAATATTCTTCAATATGTTATATTATACATTTTGATTTCAATTTTCGTTTGTGTTTGTGGCTTAATTCTATAGTGATTGTTTCCTTATCTATTGTATTCCTTTCTACGTGTTACTAAAATCCACTTAAAAACAGTTTATTCGTTGTATGTGGACAATGCCTGTCACCATCGACGATTTAATCATGCAACGGAAAAGTAAATCTATATCACAACATGGCGTACGTATTATACACATTCTATGTGGCCATGTCCAATTAAAATAATAATGTCTGTTTTTAATACACACACGAGTACAAGCAAATACATTAGCATATCGTTCTGTGTCGTTATTATAAGATTAACTGCTGTGATGTATACTTAATGACTCGAAATACTAGCAAAAAAAATGACAACTTGAGAAGTTATTTGGCCAGCATCTTCTTGTTATTTCAAATTCTAATTTTTTGTGGCTCTAGGTCCCCCTGACAGTAGTCTCCCGAACTCCTGACCTGTTTTTAATATAATTTCGTATGTGGTTATGGATAGTACGTCTAAACATTATTAATAAAGTAGTTTAACTTAAGTAGGACAGAGATTTGGTCAATTTTCTCAAAAATTTCCGAAAATCGACTACCTATGTTTCGATTCCAATACTATCTATATATCGCAAGGAATCACCCGTAATAGCTCCAAACCTTATACAAATACTCCATACTCAGCCTAGATAACTTCTAGAAAGCTCGGTGTTGTTGGAAAAACGCCGAACACAGTTGGGGGACACCTAAAAAAGCGACTCAGTTTCCAATTTTTCCAACACCAGCAATATCGTAGAGTTCAAGCCGGGATAAAAGAGCTGCCTTACACAAATCCAAGATTTCAGCCAGACCTCGTGATATGTCGAGACGATTCCATATATCGCCCAAATCCAAAGAGATGACCAAAATCGTACTGAATATTCAGATCAGGACGTAGCGGAGCCATCCCAAAGCGGGATTTCTCCGAATAAGTTACCGGGCAATGTTCTTGACCAATACGAAGTATGATCCCAAGCATTCACTAGTAGGTATTGTATTTTATATGCTTATCTGTATTGTAAATCCATATAATGTTAATAAAATGCTACAAATAAACTTTTTATAAACAATAAACTAAAAATGTTATAAACAGTTTTGTTACGAGCTTAAACTGAGACCTAGATCATCAATAAAGCACAAATATCAGCCATGATTAACTACGGATCCGGATACAAAGTGCTCTTTAGCCAAACCAAAAGCAGTAAAAGGAATTGAAGTGTCAGAGCACAAAAAAGTGTTATCATACAAAACTGACAAATGGCTCAGAAGTTATAAAGACCGTATCCATCCAGAATCCATGCCTTGAAACTGAGCAAGAGAGAACCGTAATGGAAACTGACAAATTCACGATGTGTCTGGTGCAATATTAGAGGATTACGAAATAACCTAATTCCTCAAGATCGAGGCTACATCAGCTAGAGATAATGAGAGAAAGCCAATATAGAGGGTGGGGCACGAGAGTGTAAACTAAGTCTAGAGTCAAATTTCTGAGTAATGGGGCTTATAGATGATATATCGACTTCTTATTTGGAAAATGTTTTTAAGATTTAATGATACTAATAAAATACTCACGTCGGTTAATTGGTGTCACACCAAATCAATATTGTTTGTAAGCTGGAAACGTATTATTAGCGCACTAACGAATGGGCTGAATATAAAAAGAGGATTTCACAAGGACGAATAATACTGTTCTTTGTCCATAAAACGTCAATAGACTGTATGCAAAGTGTATCAGAAATGTTGAGAAATTTCCTTATAACTGACATTTTTAAAATAAAAAAATACGTTTTTTTCAAGATTTAGTTGCCAAGTAAAAAAACGTCTCCAAAAGCTAGCAATATAGGCAGACATGCAAGAAAGGACATGGATACGTAGTATATTACAATTGCTTTATTGAAACCTAGTAGCATTTCATACTATGTGTAAATTTTAAAAAACTGTAGCACTTTTAAATATTCTGTTATTGTAATCTCGATTAATGTAAAGCATAAGTTGGTCATATACAGGGTGATTAATTAACAATGGGAAAATCGAAAACTGAAGCTGAAGATACTACACGTGAAATGGTGACCATTGGCGCAAACATGCCTTATCCGAAAGTTGATAGTTTCGGACATACAGGGTGTTGAAAGTTAAAATTTTAAATCGTTTTTTTACGATTATTCTGAAAATATGTGGGTTAGGAACTTGAAAATTTGTGAAACTATGTTTTTTTAGGCGACGAATAAGACGCGTATTGTAATTTCAGCATTGCTCATAGAGGGCGCCACTTACGACCAATTTTACCGAAAATTTAGTTAATAACTTTTTACCCAAACTTTCGGATAAGGCATGTTTGCGCCAATGGTCACCATTTCACGTGTAGTATCTTCAGTATTCGACTTTCCCATTGTTAATGACGTACCCTGTATATGAGATATAATTATATCCTATACGCTCTACTTTCATGAAACATATACAGGGTCTTCCACCTAAGAGGGATTCTTCTGTAACTCTGTAACTGTAAAATTTATAAAAAAAATGGTTTCAATAAAAGTTGTCTGGAATCATGTAAGCCATGTAAAGAAAATATTTTTAGATCTACGAGCTGTTCCATTTCGCGTGGGCGCAACATAAATTTGTTATTTTAAATGGAACACCCTGTATATTATTGCATTTTTGAATTCCTTGGTTAATATTAGGTAGAGTTAATTAAATGTGAACAAAATATGCAACCGTGCTTTATTTGAAAAAAATTGGGTTGTTTTAGTTAACAGAATTTAATTGTGAGAAAGAATCTTCGTACGTCACCTACACTTCACACAAATACAATTTAAACACTTGACACTTCATTTTGCACGCGACCACAGCATTCGTTTTTTACTTCAATTATTCCTTTGAACATTGGAATTGTTTTCTGACCCATTTAATATTATTTACTAGTTTGTGACATGTGGCAATTTGAATTTTATTCCAAGTCTTCCATTGTATGGATTTTTCTCATCACCGCAAATAAGAAATAATGAAAACAAATTTAAATTATGAATCTGTAATCTTCGCGGAACTCATTCGGGAATTGCAGCGGCCATTATCCGTTCATTGTATATTTAGAGGGGATTATAATAAAGGAGCGCTGAGTACCCTGGGGTCGAGGCGCAGGATTACAAGGTTCATTCTGTGTAATTAAGCCACGAAACGTACTGGTAAGCTAAGCTTTTATTTGTGATGTATTGTGGTACACCTTGGTTACCTTGTCGGACGCAACAAATGTATATTAAATATTATGGAGATCAAGGAGCATTAGCTTAATTATGAATTAAGCCTCTAATTAGAGCACGAAAAGCTGCCGGATAAATGCGGCAAAGTGACGGAAAATTAAAAATTTACGGGGATAACTCTCTACAAGGGTCAATGGGATGACTAAAGCAGAGTAAGCTGCATTAATATAACGTAAAATAATGATAATAATATATCTATTTTTAAGGAATTCAGCCAATTCAAATTCAAACATTTTTTCTAGAATGTCTTATCGTGTGATCTCATTTGTAAGATAGAAACAATATTTTAATTTGTTTGAATTATCTTAACACCTTAAAAATAGAGTAGAAAAGCTAATGAATACTTCTAAACAGAAGAGAACAAGCAATTATTGTTTCCTGCTGCAGTTAAATTTAAAACTTTCAACGAGCTACACTAAAGCTGTTAAGCCCCGCAAAGTTCCTTCGCTTCCATGCCGGACGATAATCTATTTCATCAGATCCAGATTTAATTAAAGTATTTGTGTAATTACAAAGAAATGGTAGAAAATTGAGTTTTACCACTCGCTCGCTTAGCGGGACCAGTCGGCCGCAATTTAGATGATAAATGGACAGCAGTTTCGTACTCCAGGGCAGTAATCCTGCTTGTTTTGTGTTGTCTTTCATCTCCGGAGATCCCCCAAAGCTTCCAGAGACAAGAAACGTCGGAAAAGCCTTTTAGGCATACAGTTCGGTGGATTAAGAACTTACGGGGTGTATTTTTAGATGCTGCAGTGAAGCTAGTTTAAAAATAAAGTAAAAGCGTTTAATTTTGACATACAGGGTGCGCTACAAAGTAAACAGGACTTTTCAAAAATAGGTATTTCTGGTGAGATCATCTATTGGCAATTATAGGTAGATCCTCCACTGATTCCATCAAAACTTTGCGTGAATTTATCAAAGATCAGCCAAAATCTTCATTGAAATTCATGGAATTGGAACTGAGCATCTCAAAAACATCAATTTATCGTTTTGGCGAACATTTGGGCTACCGAAAAGTGTGTGTACGGTTTGTTTCGCACAAGTTGCCTGACGACCAAAGATTGCTCAGAATTCAACGTTCGAAGAACATCATCAAGGAGGGCAAAATTTACAAAAACTTCCTTATCAACAATGTAAATGGCGATGAAACGTGGTATTTTCAATATGATCCAGAAACCAAACGCCAAAGTGCTAAGTGGAGGGCTCCAGACGAGCGAAAACCCAAAAAATCTCGTTTGGAGGAGTCAAAAGTTAAAACAATGTTGATTTTTTTATACATGCATTGCATTGTCCACAAAGAGTTGGTTCAACCAGGCCAAACCGTAATGCACAATTGTATCTTGGCGTTTTGAAGCGTTTGGTGCATCGCATTCGTGTAATTCGGCCAGTTGGGGTTTGTTGCACGATAATG